GCTTGGATAGTGTTGTGCAAGGACTTTATTTTTGGATGGATTCTCCAAGAGATTTAGATTTATTAAATAAAAGTATTTCTTGTACTGCAATCACTCATAATAAAAATCTCCTTTTTCATCAACGCTTGGGTCATAATGCATGTTTTCCTCATTCAAAATGTCCAATATGTCCTTTGGCTAAACAATCTCGAGCATCTTTTCCCACCAATACATCTCGAGCAAACAGTGCTTTTTCCTTACTTCATATGGACATCTGAGGTTTCTATCATATCCCTCATCGTGATGGATCTCATTTCTTCCTCACAATTGTTGATGATTATACTTGTGCTACTTGGGTATTCCTTATGCAATCTAAGGGCGAGTTTGGCAATCAGTCAAACAGTAACTATTTATATTCTATTGTTCCCAAAATTAATTTTGGAACAGAAATTCGTTTGGTAAATTTTTGTTCCTATGCACAAATTTGCAAAAATTTGTTCACAGAATTAGTTTTGGAACAGAATCAAAAAGCAAAAAAAGGTTACTTCTTGATTATGGGAACAAGAATCAAAAATAGAAAAGAAATTTTTTTTCTTCTTCTTCTTCTTCTTGGTTTTCTTCATCTTCTTCTTCCAAACACTTTCAAATGCTTAGAAATTGTTTCCAGGCACGGAATAAAAAAGAATCATTTATGAACAGAAGAAGATGAAGAAAACCAAGAAGAAGAAGTTTTCGAGCACGGAATCAAAAAGAATTATTTTCTGAACGAACGAGGTTGTTCCCTTTCTTCATCTTCTTCTTCTTGCTTAAAAATTGTTCCTAGGCACGGAATCAAAAATAATCATTTTCTAAACGGAAAAGATTTTGGATAGTTACCAAACACCTTCAAATGCTTAGAAATTGTTCCCGAGCACGGAATCAAAAAGCATTATTTATGAACAGCAATTGTTTCTAGGAACAGAATGGTTGCCAAACGCATCCTAAGAGTCAAACATTTTCTCATCTATCGAAGTTCATCTCTCTAGTCAGAAATTAATTCGATAAATCTGTCCAACGAATTCGTACAAATAATGGACGTGAATTCTTCACTTCTGATTGCTTATCATTTATCTCTTCCCATGGACTACTTCATGAAGGCTCTTGCACTTACACTCCACAACAAAATGGAGTTGTTGAATGCAAGCATAGACATCTCTTAGAAGCAGCCTGAGGATTAAAGTACCAAGCTTCAATTCCTGAGACTTTTTTGGGGAGATTGTGTGGTCACCGCAGCCTATTTGATTAATCGCATGCCTACTCGAATTCTTGATGGCCAAACTCCTTTTGAAATGCTTTACGGAAAAGACCCAAAAATTAATCGCCTTAGGGTATTTGGCTGTTTATGCTATGTGACAACTGTGGATCCTCGAAATAAAATGGATCCACGTGCCACTCAATGTGTTTTCATGGGATATGCCCCTCTACAGAAATGATACAAAGTTATGGACATATCTACGGGGCATTTCTTTATAAGTAGGGATGTTATATTTCATGAAGATGTATTCCCATTCCAGGAGATGGCATCCTCATCCAAATCGTCGTCATTGTCACTAGATTACCATCAATTCTTATCAGATGAGGACTTATTTATGGCTCCACAATATGTTCTTGTTACACCAGAACCATCTATATAGGTTTTGAGGGATTCTCCGAGTCAAGATAAATCACCAGTATCTGGGGATATTCATTCACCTGCATCACCCGTGACGGTCTCATCCCCACCAGTACCTGAACAATTACTAATTGAGCAACCCCGACGCTTTAAACGGCATGTTCATCCACCTACATGGACAAAGGACTATATATGTTCTGCATTGAGATCTCCACTTACATTATATCTTGTATCCTCATATATCTCCTTTAGTCAATTATCATCCGAACATATGTGTTGCATTAGTCGCATCTCAAAAGAACAAGAGCCATCTTCATATTATGAAGCAGCACGTGACCCTCGATGTCAAGACGCGATGGCATCTGAACTTAATGCCCTTATGGAAAATCACACTTGGGATATTGTTCCATTACCATCACATCGTAAGCCAATTGGCTGCAAATGGGTATATAAAATCAAATTCAAAGCTAATGGCTCTGTTGAACAATACAAGGCCCGTTTAGTAGCTAAAGGATTCACACAACGAGAAGGTTTTGATTAGCATGAAACCTTTTCTCCTGTCGCCAAGGAGGTAACCGTCCGTTCATTTTTTCCAATTGCCGCTATTCATAATTGGCAATTACATCAGATGGATGTACACAATGCATTTCTACATGGGGATCTTCAGGAAGAAATTTATATGGAACTTCCACAGGGTTTACGCAGACAGGGGGAGTCTCGAGTGTGTCGTCTCCGTAAATCCCTATATAGTTTGAAACAGGCTTCTAGACAATGGTATGCCAAATTCACCGATGTTGCAGGTTTTCAACATTCCAAATATGACTATGCTCTATTTACATGGACTCAAGATAATTCATCAATTTATTTGCTGATATTAATTGATGACATACTTATCATGGGAAATAATGACTCTCATATTGCAAAGTTCAAAGAGTATATGCATTCTACTTTCCACATCAAAGATCTAGGATCTCCCAAATATTTTCTTGGCATTGAGATTGCTCGGTCTGACAAAGGTATCGACGTTAATCAGCGAAAATTCATCTTAGAGATTATTTCAAAAGCAGGATTGTCAGGATGTAAACCAGCTATCATACCAATTGAGCAAAATACCAAATGACAACACATGAGTATGATATGGGTTTATCTTCTTCTATCAAGGATCCATTACTTGAGGATCCATCAGGATATCAGCAACTTGTTGGGAAGTTGATACATCTCACAATGACAAGTACTCAGTCAATTTATGCATACCCCGAAACAGTCTCATATGAACGCAGCACTGAAGGTAGTTAAATATTTGAAGGGATACTCGGGACTTGGTATTTTTTGTCTTGTGACTGCAATATGAAGATGACAGCTTATTGTGATATAGATTTTGCTACTTGCCCGATGACCAGGAGATCCATCACTGATTTTTGCATCAAATTGGGAAAGTCTTTAATTTCGTGGAAAATGAAGAAACAATCAACTATATCACTGTCATAAGCTGAATCAGAATATCGAGCTATGGCAAAAAATGTCTATGAAATAGTTTGGATACGAGGATTACTCTCGAACCTTGGAGTCCAGGTCAATGGACCAAGTGAACTGTTTTATGATAATCATGTTGCACTCAAGCTAGCGGCAAATTCAATCTTTCATGAGATAACGAAATACATAGAAGTTGATTGTCATTTTACTCGTGATAAGATTCGAGAAGGGATCCTTTGTAACAAAAGGAATTGGAACTATGGAACAACCTGCAGACATCTTCACTAAGCCACTATGTCGAAGACAACATACATACCTACTAAGCAAGCTAGGTGTCCTTCACATATATAGGCCATCAGCTTGAGGGGGAGTGTTGGAAATATGATTTGATACCATTGGAGATTCTAATTATGGATGCCGATCTTTATTAGAGACTAATTGATTTAGTCAATCGATGATTGATTTGATAAATAGGAAGTTGTAATCTCTTGTATATTAGTTCCTATTTTTCTTTGTTATTTGTACACTATAAATAGACCATGTACATGTATACAAATCAGTTAATACAATACATCAGAAATTCCTCCAATTCCTTTGTTTTCTGTCAGCTACGATGGCATCTGAATTAAGGGATTGCGATGTAATATTCTGTTTCTGAAATTCTGACGAGCAGATCTTTATTGAATGGAAATGCACAAAGAACGTGGAGGATGAATTCGCACTTCCAATGGCCATCCAGTTTCTGCTCGTTGACCCATCTTGGTGGAGTCACTCTCTCTCTCTCTCTCTCTCTCTCTCTCTCTCTCTCTCTCTCTCTCTCTCTCTCTCAGAGAGAATCAGATATGAAATGTTTTGCAATTTTCAAGGATATGTCCTTAAGTTGTGTTTCTTGCCAAACTTAGGGGTTAGGGTCCTTTTATCATTTCCCCAATGACTTTTTTTGTCTAGTTATTAGGCTAAATCATGTTATGTGTGCCCCGTGCTTGACACTAGTATTGTTCCATATATATAGGCATCCGGATCACAAATCGTCAAGAACATGTTGGACTCGGTTCTCATGCAAGTCCCCGCCAAGCTGACCCATGAAGAGCTCGAATCACTCCTGGAGTTCCTCTATAGAACTTGGGCACGAAAAATTGGACCGGCACATCAGTTCGTTGATGCTCAAGAGCCACAAGTACGAAATGCCCCTGCTTGCACAAGTCTTGCACACGGCACATGCTCAAGAATCTGAACATTCCTGACGCGTTCGACGTCCTGGAGATCTCGGATGTTTGCTCTGAACCAGAAGTTGAAGGTCGTTGTGTTGAGTCCCGTTTTCAAGAACATCGATGACATAGTTTTCTCGGCTAAGTATGAAGCCTTCTGCTCCAAGAACCCGCGTTTTGAGCGTACAGATAACAAGGGCGTCTTTGATTTATGCAAGGGATAGGAGGAAAAGTGGAGATTATTGTTGATTCAATTTAGTTGGATGGAATTGTATGGTCCATATTTTAATCTTTCTTCGAATTTTGTACAGTAATTTATCCGCACATACAGTGAATTGTGCATGTAGCACGGGAGGAGCGTGCTGTGTTAACTGCCACATAGCACAACTGAGTGTGCTAATGATGAAAAGATCTTTTAAAAATCAAGTCAGTTAAGCTACTCAATTAAATCAGGCAATTAGAGGACTAATTGACAGCTAATCTTCTGGTTTCTTTCTATTCGCACATGGTTGGGGGCGCCAGAATTTCCACCACCGTAAAGAGCAGGCATTATTCAATGAGATATGTTTAAAAAACACTCTTGCTCCAACCATCCATCGTCATTCCCTATCAGCACCCATTAAAATATAGGCGCACGTTATGCTGCTCCGACGAAACATTGGAATTCCAGATGACTTGGAACTGAAACCTGTGTGTTTTGTGCGTTTGGGCGTCTCTGTGTCTGTCAGTGTGGTGAGAGAGAGAGAGAGAGAGAGAGAGATGGGAGGGACCCGAGGGAGAGACTGTTGTTACAGGGAGGTGGTTCCATTTTCAGCTGTGTTCACTGTGGGCAGCATCACAGTGGGCATGAACACAATGTTCAAAGCGGCCAACTCGAGAGGGATGAGCTACCATGTGTTCCTCGTCTATTCTTATGCCATCGCTGCTCTTCTTCTTCTTCCTGCTCCTTTCTTCTCTCTCAAGTACGCTCCTCTCTCTCTCTCTCTCTCTCTCTCTCTCTCTCTCTCTAGCTCTCTGCCAAAACTGGGAAAACAAAAGAAGGTTCGTGGTGAGATATTCACTTTGGCTGAATTTGTTGTATGCCTTTGCAGATCAAGAACGCTTCCACCTCTCAGCTTGGCCATAGCTGCCAAACTTGGCCTTCTTGGGCTCGTAGGGTATGCACAGTTTGAATAACTTTACACTCACGCTAATATGAATAACTGACTACCTGTTTTGAGACGTGCCGCGATGTGTGTCTGCCACTGGCGTCAGCCCCACTAGGGGATGCCGGCTGTCCGACATGTCTCTGATCACACATTGCCCATGTTTTGGGCAGTTGCACGGGCAGATGGAGAAGTGTCGCAATTCTTGAAATTGTTTAGAGTTGTCGATTTGCTTCTTTGTTGTATTTTTATTCTTATATAACGGTTTCTTTGTTTTCTAAATTATTGGGAGAGCAGGGGTTTGTCACAGATTTTGGGCTATGCTGGGATTAGCATGAGTTCTCCAACTCTGGGTTCAGCCATCAGCAACCTCACTCCGGCTCTCACTTTCATATGTGCCTTCCTTTTCAGGTCCCAAACAACTTGTGTATTTATGTACTCATTGTGTGTGGTTCCTTGAAATGCATTTTTCGTTGTAAATGATAATTCTTCTGATACTCTGTTATGATTCTCCTGATTTGGTGATCTCATCACTTCGTTCATTTGGCCTTCCACAAGCTTATGCTGTTAACTGGTTCCCATATTTTGCAAATCCTGATTAAATCAAGTTAATAAATCGATTTTGGACAATTGGGGCATGAGGCTCAGAGTCACAGATTGTTTGTTAATGCTGTTCTCATGTAAATTACTTGGTAATGATGACATTGTTGGACAAAGTATTAATATTGCTGCAATCCCTCCAATTTGCTTGTTTTCTTGTCAAAATAAGGATGGAGAAGGTGTCAATAAACAGAAGAAGCAGTCAGGCCAAGATCATCGGGACCGTACTGTCAATTTTCGGGGCATCTGTCATTACTCTCTATAAAGGTCCCCCTATGTTCACTCCGAAACCTTCTCTCCCGCTTTATCCACTTGTGCACGCATCGAACTCGAACTGGGTTGTTGGGGGGATTCTCCTCACTGGTGAATATATTTTGGTCACTTTGTGGATTATTCTTCTGGTATACAATACTTGTTTTCATTTTGTTTTGTGGGTGCTATAGTTAGAACTTGACTTGAAAATGATCGGAGATTCGGCATGTGATCCTGCAGACACAGATAATGAAGGATTATCCGGCAGAACTGACCATCCTCTTCTTTTACAATGTAATTGTGAGCTTCATGAACACCATTTTCTGTATAGTAATGGAACATGATATGAGTGCCTGGAGAGTGCAGGGTATAGGACTGGCCTCGGTTACATGCTCGGTGAGGAAACAATTGAACAAACATCACATCTGATTAATAAAAGTCGTGTGCAATGCTTACTTTCTTTCTCTTTGCTTTGCTTTTAGGGCCTTTTTGAACGATGCTTAAACAACATCATTGGCATGTGGGCAATCCGGTTGAAAGGCCCTTTCTACGTCACGATGTTCCAGCTGTTGTCGATTCCCGTGGCTGTCGCGATGGGTGTCTTATTTCTTGGCGACACACTTCATGTTGGAAGGTAAGATAAATCGCGAAAACATCGAGTGCAACGTTGTGTTGAATGCTAAAAAATTACTAAACGTCCATTGCGCTGAAATTACGATCTATTCCTAATTTCATTCTTTATGAAAGTCAATCAATGTGGCTTAAGACGTGCTGCATATAAATAATTTGGAAAACCAATTACCAAAACATAACATGCAGTTTCCGCGAAACTCTTGACAGACAAAAATCCCCACAATCGATCCATTCTCCATGTGCATATAGTGTATAATTGGTTTTGACAGACGCACTAAGCTCTGTATTCTTTGAAAAAGAAAGCTGATTACATTCTCGTACTATGTACGCCTCGAATGACATTTGATTTTTTCTGCTGTGAATTCGCAGCCTTATAGGAGCGACCATACTGTCCATTGGGTTCTATATTGTAATGTGGGGGAAGGCAAAAGAGGAAATGGTTGATGAGTCTGTAGAGAGTCAGATGGAATCACCGTCGTTTCAAAAAGTTCCTCTACTGCGATGACCGGCAAGACAAATGAAGTCAGAACAAATTCTGCAAGTGGATTGCAAGATAGTTGCTGCTTGGAAACTTTGTGAAAAGGATTCCTCACCCTCAGTAAGGCTGCACAAATAGGTCTGGTTATCGTACTTATATTGATTTGAGTCCAAAGAGGTCATATCATGACCCATCAATTCCAAAATTCGGATTGCTTGATCAAACCATTGAGAGGTGTGGATGAAGGGCGTCACTCCAAGTACACAACCAAGTAGTGACGTGCAAGAATAATAAGTCTCTTGCTTCCGGTATAGTCCATTTTGATGTGTACAAGTCTGTAGTCAGTAGTTACAGAATCCGTCTCTTGCTTCCAGTATAGTCCATTTTGATGTGTACAAGTCTGTAGTCAGTAGTTACAGAATCCGTTTCTTTTTATTGGAATAAATGCTGCTCTAAATGTATTTCAAGGTGAAAGAAGATGATGACAACAAACGTCCCCCTGACAATGGTATGAACAAAGTGCACATACACGCAGTTTCGGCCAAAAATTTTTCCATTCCTATGCATATATAGTTTCTATGAAGGTGGTCTCACATTACGTTATAGTTGTAGCTCTGATACCATGTTAAAATGGTAAAAGAGGGCTGAATAGAAGAAGAAGATTCAGGCACAACGTTGTCTTGTATTTTCTGTATATTTCAAGAGAATATCTTTTTTACACACGTTTGCTATACAACACAGTGAATATATAGGCTAAGCACTAGGCTGACAAGAGACGTGATTATGTGGGATACAATCTCTAGAGAATTATCTATCTTGAGGAGCAAGTCCTGGAGGAATTGTAGGTGTATTCTTGGAAGGAAATGATCTAACTTGATGACCAAGTCATGGAGGAATTGTAGCAGTTCCGCAATCAACGCTGTTGGGATTTCTTTCCTTTGACACCCCCCACAAGCTGATGGGGCGGTAGTCACAATAAGCTTGGCCTGAAGGAGGCGGAAACGGGATCCTGAAAGGGCTTTGGTGAACATGTCCGCTGGTTGGTCCGTCGAAGAGGTATACTGAACATGTAATTGGCGCTGATGAATCCGCTGGTTGGTCCGTCAAAGAGATATACTGAACATGTAATTGGCGCTGATGAATCCACTCGCGAACAAAATGATAGTCAATCTCCACATGTTTCGTCCGAGCATGAAAAACAGGATTGCCACTGAGGTAGATAGCTGAAATATTATCACACCATAGTACCGGGGACCCCTGCAGGGTGATCCTTAGATCAAAAAGTAAAGCTTGAATCCATATGATCTCAGCAGTGGTGTCAGCAAGACATTTGAATTCTGCTTCGGTACTTGAACGAGCAACTGTTCTCTGCTTGCGAGAACTCCAGGAGATTAAATTAGAACCAAGAAAAACAGCATAACCACCCACAGAGTGTCTAGTATCATGGTCACCAGCCCATCCTGCATCGGAAAAAGCATGAAGGGAATCCTGAGATCCTTTGGTGAAGAGGGTGCCGTGACTAAGAGTGCCAGAGACAAAGCGTAAAATGCATTTGACATATTGCCAATGGGCTTCTGTAGGGGCATGCATGAACTGACAAGCAGAATTCACAGCATAAGCAAGGTGTGGTCGGGTAATGGTGAGATATTGTAGTGCGCCCACTATGCTACGATACAGTGTAGGATCATGAAACAGGGCACCCTGATGAAGAGAAGGAGGATCCGAACTGGTCAGGCATGGTGTAGCTACAGCTCGTGCTTTGTCCATGTTGGCCTTCTTAAGAATTTCAGCAGCATATTTCCCTTGATGCAAAAGAAGGCCAGAGGCAGTGTGTTGCAATTCAATCCCCAAAAAATAGTGAAGATCACCAACATCTTTGATAGCGAATTCCCGTTGTAGAGATGCAATTAAAGTGGATAGTGGTGCTTGGGGAGAGCTTGTATGGATGATATCATCCACATATACAAGGAGAAATACACTGTATGCTGATGTATGTAGGACAAATAAGGAAGAATCAGCACGAGAAACATGAAAACCAATAGATAAGAGGAAAGAACTTAGCCTTTGATGCCAAGCTCGTGGTGCTTGCTTTAATCCATAAAGCGACCGTTGAAGTTTGCAAACATAGTCGGGATGATTAGCATCAACAAAACATGGTGGTTGTTGCATATAAATCTCCTCAGTAAGGTGACCGTGAAGGAATGCGTTCTTAACATCAAGCTGTCGAAGTGTCCAACCCTGACTGTAGGCGAGTGAAATCACCGTACGGATAGTTACATGCTTCACAACGGGACTGAAAGTCTCATGAAAATCAACTCCTTATTGATTATATCCCTTGGCCACCAATCTCGCTTTGTACCGTTCAAGTGAGCCATCTGCACGATATTTGATGCAAAACACCCATTTGCATCCAATTGCTTTAAATTGTGATGGACGAGGGACTAGAACCCAGGTTTGATTCTTCATAAGGGCTGTATATTCTTCGGCCATGGCAGCCCTCCATGCAGGATCTGTAGCTACTTGACTGAAGCAAGTTGGAGTGGGTATCGTCTGCACCACAGAATGAAGGGCGTATGTGTGGTCCTTAGTGAGATGACGTTGGGCCAAAGTACCGTCTCAAAGCTGCGTGACCATGGGGTGTGTAGGAGCCACGGGCGGACCACGAGAAGGCTCTGACCGAGTCGAAGAGCTGATGGTCTGATCAATAGAGGGACTGGACTGATCAATGGAGCATGCGGTAAAACATGCGGAATTAGGTGAAGCATTTTCTGTTGATGGTGCCATAACACGCAGTGCTGTTGATTCAGTAGAGGAGTCCTACGAAATTGAGGTGGAATGGTTTTGATTTGGAGAGGCCATGAGTGGACTGACAGGGATGGAAATGCCACCTGGTTGGGGGTAAAATTCCGAATCTATTGATAAACCAGGAGATGGGCCAGCATGAACGGATGATGCAGTAGAAATAAAAGGAAATAAATTTTCATCAAAAATAGCATCAGTGGTAATATAGAACCGATTATCCTTGAGAGAGTAGCATCGATAACCATGAAAGCCAGGAGGTAACCCAGAAAAATACAGCAATGAGATCAATGATGTAGCTTGTTCTTTGCATAAGGTTGAAGGTTCGGATAGACAGCACAGCCAAAGACGCGTAGGTGATGAATTGAGGGTTTAATATTGTAGAGAACCTCCCAAGGTGACTTATGGTTGATCACTGCCGAAGGTAGCCTATTAATGATATGAACAGCACTTTCGAATGCAAGATCCCAAAAGTGAGTTGGAACTGAGGCATGATGGAGCATCGACAATCCCATCTCTACAACGTGTCGATGCTTTCTTTTAGCAGTACCATTTTGGTGATGAAGTGTCGGACAAGAGGTACGGTGGTGGATTCCTCGGTCCTGCAAGAGTCTGCGAAAAGGAGTAGATTGGAACTCCCCTGCATTATCACATTGAACGGCTTTCACCATAGTGTTAAGTTGATTTTCCACCAAATTTAAAAATGCTGTGAAAATGGAAAGAAATTGATCATGGGATTGAAAAAGATATATCCAGGAAAACAGAGAGAAATCATCAGTGAAGCATATATAATAACGGTTGTTCAAAAAGGACGTTACAGGAACCGGTCCCCATACATCAAAATGGACTAGTTGTAGCCGGGCCGAAGACTTATTTTTGGCAGCTATAGTGACCTAACTTTACGATTTCGTCATACTTTGCCGAAGTTAAGCCAGTCAAATCATTCTCTCTCACTCATCGAAAAATCTTGTGGTTTGACAAACAGCAACCTCAACGTGTTCCCAGTTGAGGTTTATTTGAGTAGACTGATGTATGATCCTGCTATAAGTAAGAATGCTATGCTGGCCGAGGTTATTACAGGAAATGAGTGGTGTTGGGGCCCTACAAGATCAGACCCATTAGTGGGCATTCAGGGTGCATTGTGTGGTTCATGTGCTGCTTGTGTTGATAGAGAAAATAAAGGTGATCACTGGTTCTCAATTGATGACAGGAAGCTAATTAGGGAAAGAAAACAGAGGATTTCATGGCATGGAATGGTGTGATTTTACCCAAATGTGCCAAATTTTGCTTTTATCACAGCTGGCTGTTCATTACACATTGCAGCACTGGATAGAAGTGACAAAATGGCAGCAAATCAATGACCAGTGCTTGTTAAGTGGATCAGCTCAAGAGACTAGACAGCAGCTCTGTTGTGAATGCTCTTTTTCTAAACAAGGTTGGGGGAGTTGCTGAACTCAAGTAGAATGCAGGCAGTCAAAGAATTTAATGCGATCCATCCTCATTTGTTTATTCCAAAAATTACCATGAAATTAACCAAAGAAGAAAAAACGAATCTAATTCCATCTACTATGAGGAAAACATGAAAGAAAGTAGATTCATATTACTGTTCGTTTGTTTTACGGAAAATGAATGATGTGGAAAACATTTTTCATAAATGATCGCTTATATCACTTACAAAAATAAATGAACCAAAAATATTTTCACGGTAAATGTTTAGACATAAATTGTTGTCGATAATAAAAATATTTCTCATTGGCTAATTATTTCAAGTGATACAAGCGATCATTCTTAGGAAAATATTTTCCAAACCATTCATTTTCCGTGAAATATACGGAGCCAACATTTTGATCTTTTCTTCGTCTTATACTAAATCTTCTCGACCGCAACTAAAATTACAAGTCTTCAATAATTATACCTTCTTCCAATGATTGAATTTGTGAAACTTTTTAAGCACTTTGCTTCAAGTTTAAATTATTCGTTCCCAAAAACCGTCAAATGCAAGGATCTGGTCGACGCACGGGCTTGTGGACTAGTTATGAATTATTACAAAGGTTCCCCATTTCTTGTTCACTGGTGAAACAGAAACTAAAGAAGGGCGGGGCACTCTTCTAGTGCCCTCAAAAACAGTCGAGAGCTTTTGTCTGATACCCCATGACATGATGAAAGCAGCACGAGCTTTTGTCCCTCGTTTCTTCAACTTTGTGAGTAATGAACAGAAACAACACTGGGAATGTACTCGGTTACCCGCGTGCGACAGCAGATATTATTCAGAAAAGGACTTGCTACACTAGAACACAAGTCCTTGTTTCTATCGGTATTTTTCGAAAGTTGACGAGAGCATTTGTCCCTTGAAAAGAATAGGCTGCACCAACAGTGGCTAGTCCGGCCACTCGAGCACTGCCTCTCTGATGAAGAGACCTTAGAAAAGCAGAAACATCAGACGTAGATTTAACTGAAACTGAAGCAAATCGTTTTGTTTCCTTGTTTTCTGTGCATGCGTGCGTCCGCGTGTGTGTGTGAGAGAGAGAGAGAGAGAGAGAGGGAGAAAGATGGCAAGGAGGAGGTGTGACTGGTACATGGAGGTGCTTCCATTCATAGCAATGGTGGGGATAGACAGCATATCTGTGGGGGTGTACACACTGTTCAAAGCAGCCACCTTGAGAGGGTTGAGCCATCATGTCTTCCTTGTCTATGCTTCCGTTGTCTCTGCTCTTGTTCTTCTTCTTGCTCCCTTCATGTCCTGCAGGTATCTATCTCTCTCTCTCTCTTTCTACCATGTCATATGGGTACAAATCTAATCTTTGTGAGGAGCTAGCATCAGCTGAGTTTTGCTCTTGGTTTCTCTGTCCAGATCAAGAGCACTTCCTCCTCTCAGCTTGGCCATACTAGCCAAAATTGGTCTTCTTGGCCTCATTGGGTAATCGTCTCTACAAGTTTGAACATTGATCTTATGCCGAGTTTGCACAGGAAAGACGACGCAAAGCCAAGAAATGGGTGTCCCATTTTTTTTTAAACCTTTTTGAATTGGCTGCTTTGCTTCTTTGCCTTTTCAGTTGTAAATTTTTTTGTGTGCTTTCTTTTTTGGGGAAGAGCAGGGGTTCATCACAGATTATGGGCTATACTGGGATTAGTTTCAGCTCTCCAACTCTTGGTTCAGCCCTCAGCAACCTCACTCCGGCTCTCACTTTCATACTTGTCATCCATTTCAGGTTCTTCTTCCTCCTTGTAGGGATTGTGTAATGCCTGATTGATTGTGATTAAGATTTTGCTTATCAATTCAGGATAATAGTCAATTACAATTATCTAAGATAGACTAGCAGATTAGCAATAGAGCTCTTCATAATTGGCATTTTTTCCAACTGCTTGCAACTTTTCTTGTAAATGATAACATGTCTGGTCTATGTCATCATTATGCCTAAAGCCGTAATTTGTCTACTAACTTACTCTGTTTCCTCAGTTAAACATGATATGTATTTGTTTCGTTTCCTTAACGTGAAGGATGGAGAAAGTATCACCGAAGAGAAGCAGCAGTCAGGCCAAGATCATTGGGACCGTTCTGCCGATATCCGGTGCATTTGTTGTTACTCTCTATAAAGGTCCTCCGATTATTACCACCGCTCTGAAATGGCCTCTCTCATTTGATCCGCCTCTGAGCGCATCGAGCTCATACTGGGTCCTGGGAGGGATTTTTCTCAGGGCCGAAAACATTCTTATTCCACTGCACTACATCGTTCTGGTACCCGCCATGCTACTATACAACTTTAATTTTTCCGAGTGCAGGAGAGATAACTCAGGATAATCCGAATGAGTGTCAAAACATGAACATGCAGGCACAGATAATGGAGGACTATCCAGCTGAACTGAGCGTGACCTTCTTTCATAATGTGTTTGCGTGCTTCATTACTGCAATCGTCGCTTTAGGTGCAGAACATGACACTAATGCTTGGAGAGTAAGCGATATAGGACTCTCTTCTGTAATATGCTCGGTAAGAGAATGACCATAGATAAACCAGTCCCGTGTTAACTTGATCAAGAATATTCATTTTAATTTTTATGGTGTGTTGGATGTTTTTACACCTCTTGGCCTTGTGCATCATAGGGACTTTTCGCGAACTGCCTGCGCGTCTTCACACCTGGGCGATCCGCGTGAAAGGTCCCCTCTATGTTGCGATGTTCAAGCCGGTGTCGATCGTCATCGCCGTCGTTATGGGCTTCATCTTTCTTGGCGATGCACTTCATCTCGGAAGGTATTAGATGCAGTTGGAAAAATTTACTCTTCAAGCATGTGTTAATGTTCCATTTTCTCACCAGTCAGTCCTTTTATGTGCATGATCATTCATCATCAACACGCTTAGCTCTGTGTTATGCCGAATGGTAAAGCTAATCCCGATTTTATTTTCATATCATCGTGCTACCAATGCTTTCGATGCCGGTACTTTCTTCTGTGTGCCGCGAATTCATAGTCTCAGCGGAGCGATTATAATGTCCATCGGATTCTATACCGTAATGTGGGAGAAGGCGAAAGAGGAGACAAATGAAGAGCCCCAAGGGAGCGTCGCACAATCGCCACCCTCTCAGAAAGTTCCTCTACTGCCAAAACATCAAAGCCATTGAAGCAGTTTGCCTGCACTACTTGGTCTCCGTTTGAGTTTTACTTGTACAAGCAGGAAGCTCTGGGTGAATGGTTCCCACGACTTGCTCACTTACCCTTGACTATTTATGTCTCCATGTGGCGCAATTCAATTGATCATAAAAAGACAACAAAAGGGCAAGTCGGCTTTTTTCATTTTTGTTTTTTGGATATGTAATATTTCATGGGAAATCTTCGAGTAATTTCGGAAATACTTGCAATCCCAAAATAAAAGAAGATTATGAGCGCTTTTGGTTCAGCTTTTCAAGGAGCTTTCAGCCTCCAAAGCCCCTTGGGGAAATGTTGGGGCATTTGGCAAGTCTTCCCAAGGGGCTTTTCGGCCAATTGTTGGCATTGAGAAAGCTGAAAGCCCAATACTAGTCTAAAACTATCCTCACCAATTTTATAATTTTTCGGCTTTGCCCCTTGTTATTATTGTTCATTTTCTTTGCGCTAGGGCGGCCACAAGGGCCCACGAGGCTACATCGGGCCGGCGAAAGGCCGACGAGGGGAAAGCGAGGTCGCATGACCGCCTAGGCGATTATCGCATGGGTCACGCTACCCCAGCGACGGTCGATTGGGTCACGCAACCCTTGCTAGGGGTTGCACAATCTTAGGTGACAGCTACCGACGCCAGATTTGGCTTTCCGGCAGCCTGAGCCCTTTGCCTAACCCGGCGAAGGGTGTGATTTTTTTAATAAAAAAAATAAATATTAAACCCAAAAGCCCTTTGCAAAAAAAAAAATAAAATTGCCAGACACTACTTAAGCCAAAGTAGCTTTACAAAGAATTTTTTACCAAACGCTATTTACATTCCCTCAATGTGCTTGAGGCCGAAGGCATTTGCATTTCCTCAAGCCCATTTGCGAAGCCGAACCAAACGCAGCCTTACGTGGATTGATTAATCGAGATAGAATTTCATGTCGATCACTTTGCCTCGAAATTAATAAAGGAAAATATTAATCTAGTTTCACCCAATTTTTTTTTTCTCATTATCATGATAAACCCCTCGAATTCGTTCCACTCAACAAGATCACTTTAGCAAAAAAAAAATGTTAAATGTATATGGTTTTTATCTCCATGGACAAAAACGGTAAAAATAGTTTTATGGGTCGGGCCTTAAGGTGCAGAAAGATGGGCCTCAGAGTCCTGACGGCCCAACAGAAACTCCCCCGGGCCTCTACCTCGCTTCCATTCCTTTCTTATTTAATTTTTATTTAATTCATATCTTTTCGGGTGGATCGGAAAAACCCTAATTTGGGCCTATATAAGCTCAGCTCAGCAGCTCAGCAGCTGAATCTTGCTCCCGGAGAGCCGAAAACCTCCATTGTCGTACGGCACAGGAAGAGAGCTAGAGCTAGTGAGAGAGAGAGAGAGAGATGGGGAAGGTGTCGAAGGGGTCGAGGAAGGGGAAGAAGGCGTGGAGGGCGAACATCAGCACGGAGGACATCCACGACTTCTTCGAGAAGTCCACCAAGGACGCCCTCTCCGGCGGTTCCCTCGCCGCCGTCCCCAGCGAGTCCCTCTTCTTCGTCGACACGTCCACAGGTATCGCAGCGAGCTCTCTCTCTCTCTCTCTCTCTCTCTCTCTTTGTGCTGGTTCTGAGCATGTTCCTGTGCTGTGTCTGTGTCTGCTTTCCTGTCATTTTTATTGCACGCCTCCGATGCTTTGCCGACGGTGCTTCGTTGGGTGCTTGACTCCCTCGGGGGTGGTGTGAACTCGGCTTTGGTTTCCTGTTCATCAGCATGAAGAGTCCCTTGGTAGTGGTATTGGATCAATTGCTGCCGCATATACATTTCGTTTATTTGATTTGAAGCTGCGATTTAACTGCGCCGCGCCCTTGTGTGGACGAAACGGTTATTTAGTGATGATTCGTGCATCTCTGGTTGATTGAGCTTAGACCTTTCACGGGTCGGCGATGGTTATAATCTTATTTTGGGAAAAAAAAGGTGAAATGCAGGTGTCCTTGCGACTTATCTCGAGTAGTGTAAATAAGCCGATTGATAGCATACTCTCGCTTGGGCTCTGTGCATAATAAGCCGATGCTCTGGATATTTTGTTTAATGAAGGAAGCATGGTAATGTGCACAGAGAATGAATCTTTGGGTCCGCATGTCTGCTCTCCCTGATGCCTTTGAAGGGCTCTGATTTGAGGGCCTGGTTACGACCTACATCTAGAAAACATAATGATTTATTAAAAAAAATCATTTCTTGCTACTTAATCATTGGTCTAATTTAATCTTGTCATTTTTTTAGCATATAGTAGAATCATATTGAGTAGAAACCTTGGTAGAAATTTATCTCTCGCGTTCCTTTATAGTGAAGCGTGGTTTGTGCTCGCATTGTGTCACAGCCATATGCTCCTGCTGAACTAACGGTGACTTCTTATAATCGATTGGGTAGTTATATCCATAGGAAACTGAAAAGTTAAACAATGTTTTTTAACTGTGTTTTCTGTGTACAATAAGCCGATGCTCTGGATAAATTTCATGAAGGAAGCATGGTAATGTGCACAGAGAATGAATCTTCGGGTCCGCATGTCTGCTCTCCCTGATGCCTCCGAGGCTCTGATTTGAGGGCCTGGTTACGACCTACATCTAGAAAACATATGATTTATTAAAAAAATGATTTCTTGCAACTTACTCGTTGGTCTAATTCATCTTGTCATTTTTGTTACATGTGGTAGAATCATATTGAGTAGAAACCTTGGTAGAAATTTGTCTGTTGCATTCCTTTATAGCAAGTGTGGTTTGTGCTTGCATTGTGTCACAGCCGTTTGCTCCTGCTGAACTAACCGTGACTTCTTATAATCGATTGGGTAGGTATATACTTAGGAAACTGAAAAGTTGAATGATGTTTTATAACTGTGTTATCTGTGTACAATAAGCCGATGCTCTGGATATTTTTCATGAAGGAAGCATGGTAATGTGCACAGAGAATGAATCTTTGGGTCCGCATGTCTGCTCGCTCTGATGCCTTTAGCACTGATTTGAGGGCCTGGTTGTGACCCACATTCAGATTATCGTTTGGATAATGTAATTGGATGGAAGAGTGATTAAAGTCTTCATCTTGAAAAAAGTCACTAAAAGTGGTACTTTGTCATGTCGTTTAGATCTTTCGGTAAAGCGGAAAATTGAGAAGCAAAGGGAAAAAGTACTTCGGACTGACAGTGTGCTGCAAAAGAACCCGTTTGTCCAAGCAGTCCCCTCTTCTGTCAGTAAGAAATCCAGAAAGAAAAGAAAAGAAGTTGTGAACAATGCTGGTCAAGGTGATAACGAGGTGAGCTGATTGTTGGAGGTGTTTCATTATCGGTGAATGAGGGCTGACCTTCTTCTGAATTTTACTTTTAATAGGATGCTTCTGTCTCAGCTTCTGGTATGGTTGACTTATGGGCAGGTATGGTGCTCTCTACTTCTAATTATGGTCTTTCCAAGAGGTTTTTCATCTGAGACACATGTGATGTAATGTTTGTTCCATGTTGTGCAGGCAAGTTTGATGGCAAGCTCAAGAAGGTAATAACTGATTCTCTTTTGTATCTGTTTCTCTTTACTGCTCCTAAAACCCTAAGTAACAATTTCTTGGAAGTTTTCAGCTTTTTATCCAATCCTGATTGGACTTATGATGTTTACGCCATTTTAACAGAAAACCAAGCCTTCAGTTATTCCAGCGGTAGAAGTTGAGCCTCCTGGCTGTTCATTCAATCCATCCTTTGAGAGCCACCAGGTATATTTTTTTTTTCTTGAGATACTTACGCTTCCCTCCCTTGTATTGCACTGAGCCAATGAATTTGATGTGTGTAGCATCACCTCTTATTTGGTATGTTACTTTGATCTAGGATTCTCTGGCCTGTGCTGTTGCAGACGAGATGCAGAAAGTCTACAAAAATGAGTTGGGTCCTGAACTGGTTCCATTAACCGTGCAAGGTGAAGTTATTGCTGAGGAAGATGTAAGTTTATTATTTTTGAGATCTGATTGCTTCTCTACTTCAATATGTCATGTTATACCTCGGTGGAACTCTATTAACTCATTTTAATGCCCCAGATGTATTTCCTGGAAGCCGATGATGGGGGTGATGATGATTCGTGCTTGGAAAATCTGGATGGCGATGAGAATGAAGCAACCGAGAATAGGTGATTTTCTTTTCACAATTTGTAACTTCTCAGTTGTCGACATCAGAATAATTCTATAAGGAAATAGCAGTAGGAAATTTCGAGTGAAGTACGTGCATCTCTTGACGTGCGTTCTCCGGTTATGTTTTTTTGTTCATGCTATATTAATGGCTGTTCCTGTTAGATTAGCATTAGCCAGAAAAATTTCATCTTTAGTTGCATGGTGTGTGGGGTGTGAATCGTTTTTAGTTGATATTGTGCAATTGCAGGTCATCCAAAACAAAGCCCGTGACTCGCGTTGAACTGAATCGGAGAGCAAGACGTAAGGGCTTGCTGAAGAAGGAAGCAGAAACCAAGAAGATTGAGCAACTGTCCAAGGAAATTGACAGGTAGGATAGTATTGCTTTTCTAGTACTTTGTGCATGAGCCCCAGTAAATTTATGTCTTAGCAAACCTTACTAACTTTGGCGGCTTTCTTTTGCACAGCTTACCAGATATTATTCAAGAAATTGCAAAAGAGGATGAGGAGAAGCAAAGACGGCATCTCCGACGAGTTGTTGCTCAACAAGAAAGACTAAAGTTGCGTCCACCACGCCTGGGAAAGCACAAGTATGTGCATGATTTTTTATGCTGATGTTATCTTATGTGTTTGCTTGAAGCTCCTGATGATTGTTCTCTTTTTCTTTCTCCTTTCAAATCAGCAATCTTGGTAGAAATGTTCTAAGAAATGTGTGCTGTGTCAGTAGTTTGTGAAACTCATGTTAATTTGAAGATATGCAATCCAAGTTTGTTTGACTGTTTTGATAAATATATTGACTTCTCTTCTTGATCTAGTCGTGGAAATTCAAGTTTCGTCTGTTTCAATTGATATCAGTTTTTTATATTTCTTCTCAAAATTTTGTAATCTGTTCCTGTTTCTTGGTATCAGATGTGCTAACTTTAACCTTTCTCTACAGATTTCAACCAGCACCTATGCAAGTACTGTTATCTGAAGAAATCACCGGTTCCCTCCGCCAGCTGAAAGTAAGAGAGTTTTTCTCCCCTTTTTGACCTTTTAGTGTTTTGTGTTTTTCTATGACATATATATGAATATGGATAGCTAATTTTTCCTCATGCTGGTTGTATTGAAGGGTTGTAGCACTCTAGCAAAGGATCGATTTAAAAGCCTCGAGAAAAGGGGACTGGTCGTTCCAACATCCAGAAAGAGGAGGTTAGTGATTCTTTTTGAGTGGACTGAACTTTCTCTGTATATTGTCAAATGTTGGTGAAGTCCATTTACAATTCCGAGTTATTGGGGGGTTTGCATAGTTCTTTCTTTGAGTTAATAGAGAGCAGGATGTGCATGGTTTAATTCATTTACAGTTTGTTTGTTTTTAATATATGCTGTCAAGGAAAGATGCCTTGTATTATTTTTTCCATGTTGTGATATACTGTTTATGCATTAGCAGTACGAGGCAGTGAAGTCGCCATGATCCAAGCCGCAGCATATGATTTAGATAACTGTTAATTTGATTGGATTTTTTTTTATATATTTGTCTTTAGCTTGTATAAAGAGGAAGGAAGAGCAAGGTTTTCCTTGGTACCGATAAACTGTTGATTCCTTATAATTACTCCTGAAGTGATCATTGATTGTACATTGCGAATGTATTTCTTTTGGCAGAAGGTGAGCGAGCTGTGAGCTGATCTCCAGCAAGCAGGAGAAAGCTTTAGCTTCTGTCTTGGGACTTCAATTTTCGTGGTCTACGAAGTTGACGGTGGACCAAACCTGAGGACAAAGCATGCGTCTCGCTTTGAGCTTTTGTGTACAAAGCCATCACCGATGTTAACCTTCTCTTTTTGTGGTAGAGGAAGATGTTTTTAAGTTTTCTAATTTGTTTTGATCGATCTGTATATTGTATAGTAATATGTTTAATATGAATCAGTCATTATCCATCTTAATAACAAATTTTTTTTTATCAGTGCTCTATTAGTGTTCTATTACGAAGCACGATGCCTTCGAGAACGACCATTATGATTGCAGTGGTTGAGCAATCCATTTGTCCATTCCCTTGGAGACTCGGTTGGATGTAGGGGTGTCTACGGTTTGTGTTGGGTCAGGTTTTCTTTGATATCCGACCTGGCCCGAACATGATTGATTTATGTTTATTGAGACCCGAGCCGTTTCATACCCAAACCCGAAACACGGTTCAAGTTTCGGGTTGGGTCGGGTTTCGGTTTATTCCTTTTTGTGTTTTTCTTTCTTCTTCTTCACTCAATTTTTGGGACAGCCGTGAGCGATTTCTTATCAAAATAGGTTGGAAAGACTATATTGGCAAATTGTATCCTTAAAATATTTAAGAATTAAAATTGTCAAATTAAAAATTTTATGACTGAATAGAATTTGTATAATAGGTTTATGACTTTTTGGGTAATTTCTCTAACCACTAAGGGTGCGTTTGGCAACAATTTTGTTTCCGGAGGCTGATTCGGAAATAATTTCGAAGCATTTAAAGGCGTTTGGTAATTGCTCAAAATTTCTATTCTTGGAATAGAAAAAGAATAGAAATGCGTTTGGTAACTACATAAATTTTTTTTATTAATAATATTTTGAATTTTTTAATATTTCTTTCTTTTTTTTCTTCTTTTTTATTCTCCTTCCCCTTCCCTGGCCATGGTCAGTCGTCGGCACCGGCAACCAGCCACAGGCCAGGGCAGACAAGTGTAACATCTTTACCTTATCTCAAGGTTATTAGTGTGACGTCTCAGGCTCGTCATCGTCCCGTTTTCTTTTATTTTATTAATAAGCACATGTGGAAACGAGTACAAACAAACTTTCAAACAAAATAATAACTGAAAATCAGGGAAAACACAATAGGCAAAACACACTATTGCCATTTTACTTAACATATTTTACAAGCCCTTTTCTACGGGCCGTTCTACGTACAAACCTTATCACAAGCAAAAGCCGAGGTTAATCCTAACTCCTCTATGTCAACCTCATCTCTATGGACCTGAAAAGGAAAACAATGGAGGATGAGTCGTACTCATGTAGGATGATGCCTTGCCGTCGTACTAACACATAAAATACATTCCCTGCCTTCTGTCGATGGCAAATCAATAGCAAAGACTTTGACATTGCCCTTACTATGTTCACATGGAAACTCACCTTTATCCGGTCACAGAAATTCGGCTTATCAAGAAACATATATACCAGCACACATATAGAATTCATTTATCATATACCGGCACACATATAAGATTCATTTATCGTCAGCCTAGCTCAACTAGGGTATCCCGACTCAACTGAGGCATCCAGCTTCATGCTAGGCATCTTGGCTCAACCAAGGCATCCCGGCTCAACTGAGGCATCCCGAGGCTAGCTTACCCGAGACATCCGAGCTCAACCAAGACATCCTAGCTCAATTAGAGCATCCTGACACTAGTTTACAGAGGCATCCGGGCTCAACCCAGGCATCCTAGCTCAACTAGGACATCCCGACGCTAGTTTACCGAGGTATCGCCGCCAATGTTATGTGACGACAGTCTTCTTCTTTTATTGAGTGATCACACATCATGGGTCACACAAGTCAGTTTATTATCTTGATTTCATTAGTCCATGTAATCAAGTCCAAAGCGTACCGTGCTTGTGTAATCATGATCTCTAGAACATTCGCCTAACATGAGGGTCGCGGTTGAGGGCACGTGGTTCGGTCCGCCATGCTGAGCGCCGGTTCAGAGCCGAACTTGGCTTAGATCTACACACCTCAATGTAAACCCGCACCAAGCCGAACTCGTCTCGTGATGCCACAACATGAGTATGAGACCATACGACACACCGTTTCGTGACTCATACATGCCTTGACTTACGATTATGAAGCAAAACAACAAGCACTCGCGCAACACCACGTCACATCAAATACAAAACATAGGCAAGACATGGAAAGAACCAACCACGACCAATCAAACGACCGAACACGGTCTAAGCAAACCACGCCACAGAGCATCTAATCTTCCGTTCCCGATATTAGGGTATCCACTCACATGCCGCGTTCCAACCACGTAACACACCCCCCCTATCCAAGTATTAGGACATCCACTCACTTATAAGGTCAAGAAAACGTCTACGACGGTCGGCGGCAGCTAACGGCGAGAGAGAGAGAGAGATGATTGGTGTGATGGTGAGGGAGAAAGAGAGACGTGAGAGTGAGAGATGAGAGGAAGAAGAGCTGATGTGTGGAAACTAAGGGAGGAAACCAAGCCTTTTCATAGGCAAATCACTAACTTGTTCATCAAATTTAAGAGTCAAAGCTTGCTCCCCAAGTTCTTGACTCTCTAGACTCTTCTAAGTCAAAACTTGTTCCCCAAGTTCTTGACTCTCTAGACTCTTCTAAGTCAAAACTTGCTCCCCAAGTTCTTGATCATCATGAAGCTTCTTATGCAAGCCTTTAATTGAGGCCGCACATCTCTCATTTAAAAGCTCAGAATGTATAGATTTTGTTTTCAGAAGACATCAAATCGAAATTCTAATGTTTTCATATAGAAATTGATTAATATTTGAAATCTGGCAAAACTGGGCAATTTTGCACTATTCACGAATTCAGACTTGAAAACAAGTAAATGAACTTCAAAAATTCTCAAATTTGAATATGTCATAAACAAGGCCTTAACAAACATTTTCCATGAAGAGCACGAAATCTGAATCTTTCTGTAACTACAAATTTTAGTAGCTCAAAAAACAGACTAAAAATAGTTCGCTAGAACATAATTCTTGCTTCTCAAAGTAAGCTCTTTCCATAATCCAAATCATATAAAAAAATTCCCAAATTTATATATGATATATATAAAGAAGTTCTCAACAAATTTTGTGAACGAAGTTTATTTAAAATCGGCCCATAAAATTTTGTAGAAAATCGAGAAAGTGTGAACATCACAGAAATACACATTCTGGGCAGTTTTACACAGTTTGAAAATTAGGCTATCGTACTACTCGTATCAAGTCCAAAAATTCTGAAATCAAAGTATGTAAAACTTCAAGATGTTTGGAGAAACTTTTAAGAGTAAGTGTTTGAAAATTCGTATCACAAAAGTCTCCACAAAAATAACAAAATGAAGGGGTACAGAGGATCCGAATATGGGTTTTCCAGAACAAGAGTAAAATTAGTTTCGATTGGGGAAAACCTATAAACTTAATCCATAGCCATTTCTCAGGGACTGAAATTGAGGATGTTATAGCAAGGGCGTCGCGGCCCTCGCCGCTGCCCTCACTAGATCCAGCGAGGACAGCCCTTGCCCAGGCCGCGAGCCGCCCTCACCGGATCTGGCAAGGGTGGCGGCGAGGGCGAGGGCTGGACCCTCGCCGCCTGGGTGAGGGTCGCCCACGCCAAGGCGGCCCTCACCCAGGCGGCAAGGGTCCAGCCCTTGCCCTCACCAGCGACTAGCCACAGGCTAGGAAGAAAACGAAAAAAAAATCTTGATTCTTGATTTTATTCCAAAACTAATTCTGGGAACAAAAAGCTACTTTTTTTTGCTTCTTGATTCTATTCCAAAACTGATTTTGGGAACAAACTTTGGCAAATTTGTGCCCAGGAACACAAAATTTACCAAACGGATTTATGTTCCAAAACTTATTCTGGGAATAAAAGAACAGAAATTTTTACTATTTGGCAACTTGCCAAACGCGCCCTAAATCTAACGTACAATGTCATGTCTTCAGAAAATACTCTGAATTCTAGAACTTCAAATTTGGTGTACTAAGTTTATTCCTCCTTTCACCTTTTGTCTTCCATTTTTTCCACCACCATAATTACAAAAAAGGACGATGACTCTATCGGTTTCGAGGATCAACGGGTCGAATCCATCTTGATGATATGGCGTTTGATTTTTCTACATGTTCGAGTCAATGTGATTAGTGACACCTTAGTGACCAATCACGAAAGGGATGAAAGTCATTTCATTAAAGATTCCAAAAGGCCAATGAGTGACTTGTCTAATGTCTTATTAATCCCACTTGTGGCTTCATGTTCCCCCTAGCTAGAGCTGCACGAAAACCATGGAAATCTTCCCACAACCCCCAAACCTTTCACTCTCACCTTATCAACAACTTGCTCGACGTCTCTTTTATGCACAATCTTCAATTTGGGTGCCGATTGAAATCTAAACCCTAAGCTCTAAAATCTCAAACCTTTCACTTTCCCCTATTCAACACCTATTCAACAACTTGCTTGACGCTTTTGAGTAGAACCTTAAATTCGGGCGTTGATATCGAAATTACCAATAAAGAACAAAACAAATGGAAAAATAGAAAAATTGGTGGGGGAGAGTCTCAAGAAAAATTGAGTCGAAATCAAAACGGTCTATAATTGCCAGCCTAGCGCATTCCGCTGTATCTGGGGTAGGGACACCCCAACCCCATTACAGGACAAAGGAAACCCTAATTTTTTTTCTCACATCATGGGGAAAAAAGTGGGACCCTTTGACGATCTTGATGTTTTTGGCTCTTGAAGACCTTTCGATCTTTGGGATGTTGGGACCGGTACAATAATGAAATATTCCTGTCCTCATGGTCCACGAGCTGCTCCATCATGGGCACACCATTCTAAGCACTTTCTCCTGTTTTTTCTTCGACTTCTTTTCGTGTTATTTATCTTTCCGAGCTCAATGAGAAAGTCCATAGCCCGAGGTTTACTCTTTTTTTTTGCTAGAATAGCCCGAGGTTTACTTGTTAAAGTGGCCCGATGTTTTTGATAAATCAAATTCAAGGATGGATCTAGACCCCCGCCACGATTCATACCCACTTGCGTAATTAATAACCCGCAATCATGTTTTGTCGTGTCAGAGCGACGCTCGATCGAATTAGAATCACTTTTTTTTTTCTTTCCCGACATTGCTCGACGGGAAACACTGGCGTCTGAGTATCTTGTCGATCGGCAGGAAATGGTGCAGAGCAGATCAACTGCTGGTGTCGCGTCAATCTGAATAACCTTTAACTATAGTCATAGCAACACAAGTCGTCGATTGGATCATCTAGTGGATTGATTTTAGTATTATCTAATATTATTCAAGAGGAAAATTGAATTAACATCGAAGACCGGAAGACCAGCTAATGTCTTTGAAGGCACACCTCGTATACCATGACGCCACGAGCGGCTGTCGAAGTCCAAGAAAGCTGGCTTGACTACTACTTCGTCACTAGTCTTGACCTCCATCCTCGTGTGAAGAACAAGTAAAAAGGAAAGTAAAACTAGGACCCACATAATAAGAAAGGAATGGAAGACTTCACACGTGCCTTTTCGAAAACGGTCGACACCCCTACCCAATATTTTCTCCGTCGAAGAGATCGGGACAAGCAACTATAACTCCGGATCTACCGAGTTCAAGTCCAAGTTCTCAACTCGATTACATTATTAAACAATTAACTTCATAATTCGGTTTTGTTATCGTTATATTATATCAATGAATTCTTTTTTACGGAGTTAAATCGTTGCGATTCTTTCAGATAATACGGCGGCCGTCTCCTAACGAGTTCGTTCCTCTCGATTAGAATGCTAAGCACGTGCTATAAGGCCAGTTTACAAGTCATTAGACTAGACTGATGCTAAGAGGTTTCTATCAAATATTGAACATTAATCTATTTCATAATGGTCAAAGAGTCACTTTGTTTTCGTACTAATTTTGCCAACTGGTTTTGCTCTGCGGGGAATTTTCTTCCCTATTTAAACTCCTGCTAACTCCAACCCAACACCAAAGCTCGCCATTTCCCTAGTCTCTCAACTCAAGCTCAACACACTCTGTCTCTCTTCTTTTCACAAGACCCCCACGCACACACGCACGCACGCTCTCTCTCTCTCTGTCTCTCTTCTTTTCACAAGACCACCACGCACGCACGCACGCTCTCTCTCTCTCTCTCTCTCTCTCTCTCTCTCTCTAGGATTCACATAGTCTAGAACTGGCTAACACTCCACCGCCAGCTCTGGAGGAGCGTGACCCCGCGAACCGGACGGTGGTCCGTGCCCTGTACGAGGCCCTTCGACTCCACGACCGTGACGCCGTCCACCGCATCCTCGCCCCCGACCTCGAGTGGTGGTTCCACGGCCCCCCTTCCCACCAGTTCTTGATGCGCCTCCTCACCGGCGCCTCCCCCTGTGCCGCCGCCGCCGCCACCACGTCGGACGACGCCTTCCTCTTCGTCCCCGACTCCATCACCCCCTTCGGCCCCACCGTGCTCGCCGAGGGCTTTGACGCCGTCCGCTCCATCTTCTGGGTCCACGCGTGGACGGTCTCCGCCGATGGGATAGTCACCCAGGTGAGGGAGTACTTCAACACCTCGCTCACCGTCACACACTTCGGCGACTCCCTGCGGTCGGATCCTTCGACGGCCGAGATCGCTCCGCTGCACTGCCAGTCCCTGTGGGAGAGCAGCGTGTCGAGCCGGGTCGGGAAGTCCGTGCCGGGTCTGGTTCTCGCCATATAACCAATCTCGCCGGCCGGATATCCGGTGCCACCGTTACTACAGTAGTGGAATAAAGGTTGCACCGCGCAGCAGTTGGCAACTGGCTCCTGCTGAATGGGCTGAAGTCTTTTACCTAGGACTACGAGGATGTGAGTCCTAAGGGTCCTGTCGTGTTTGGGTTCCTGTCCTGACTTTTTGTCGTTTCGGTTTGTGTCGTTTAGGGTTTGTGAAACAGTGGAAAGATGGGTCGACCCAGTTGGAATCGGTCCCATCCTGCTGATGTGCATGTAATAATGTGGGGCTGCTCTTGCTCCTCTGCAATAATAAGAGTGTGTTCCTGTGCGTTTGATTGTCCGATGAATGTCTTTTCGGCTCATGCAGACTATTCAATCTCTCACATGTTCGGGCAGGAGTGACCCTCTTCATTTCAATAATTCATGCTCATCTAAAAAGAAACATGCTCATATCTAACTTCTTTGAAAACATGGCATGTATGTAACACCAATTTTATAAAGTAAAACTCGTTTTGAATGATTAAACGTTAGTAATCTCGAGCGCGACACATAAATCGGGGAATTAGGGAGCGAAAGGAATCGAATACTATATATAAAACTCCGAAATTATGTGCATGTGTACGACCGTTGTCGTTTGGTAATGTTGAATTTCGAATGAGTTGTATTGTCCGCGGCTATCTTCGTGTTAACGTTAGTTTTTCGTAGTCGTTTTATTGGCCTTCATTCGTGCTGCGACATCATAGGAAAGATCTACTCTTGACCTTATCTGATATCTCAAAAAAGTGGTTGAGATGTCCTATGTAATGTATCCTCATAAAAACACATTTAACATGGACAAAATTACATCAATTATATATTGAGGAAAATTATCAAAAAAGTCAGAAATTTATTACACTTGTGTCAATTTAAAAGACGAGAAAATGAATTTTCTATTTATAAAAGACGAGAAAATCGTCGTCATGTGTAGAATGGTAAGATCCATAAGTGAGTCCAAAATGAAAGCAATCAATTTCTTTGAGAACTTTGACGCCCCCGCAACCTTAGAGAAAATTATCCAAAAAATCTTAAAATTATTGCACTTTTGCCAATTAAGTTCTAAATATTTTAATTATACTAATTGAGTCCTAAACCTTTTCTCCTTTTTTCAATTGAGTCCATCAGGCCAATTTTGATCGGAAATTGCTGACGTAGATACCGACCATCTTACGTGGCATATGGGTGTCAGAACCGAACCGAAAATTTCGTGCATTTCAATTCGGTTTCGATTTCGGTTCAGATAATCAAAATTAACCAATTTTTTTTTTAATTCGGTTTATTTCGATTATGTTCGGATTGAACCGAACTGAAATAGACACTTCAGTTTTTTACCCTAAAAGCCTTTTGCTTTTAGCTTTAGGGCTATCTCGCCCGCATCTGCCTCTACTGAAGCAAAAGAGTAAAGGCAATTACAAATCCTGGCGATCGACACCTGCCGGAGAAAGCAAAGCAGATCAAGACCACCAGCGGGGAAGCTCAACCTTTCAACAACACCCCCCCCCCCATAACAGGAAAAAAAAAAAAAAGGGGGCGTTGGGGTGGGGGGCAACGAGAACGCACCGGATCGCTGGCAAAGAGGTCCAGGGAAGCCGGGAAGCCAAAAGTGACGAAGCGTCTGGTTCAAGTACCAAGCGCAGTGCTCCAAGTTTCCGGCATCGGCGAACGCGTACTCCCTGCGCCGAGAGCCCCCAAAAAGAACAAAAGGAGGTGAAAAAAAAAAAACAAACAAACAAACCCATCAACGCTCGCGACGCGCGGAGGCGAAAAGACGCAGCAGGGGTGGTGGAGGGGAGGGAAGGAGGTACCCGGCGGAGAAGGCGGAGTGGGGCGACGGCTGCCGAGAGAAACGCAGAGAGAGAGAGAGAGAGAGGAAGGAAAGCGGGGGTTAGAGAGGGAAAGAAGAGGGAAAGTGGAAATGGAGGAGAGGGGGGGTGGGGCTTACTCTGAGATCGAACTAGGTGTCAGTGGCCGCCATTGCTGGAGGCGAGAGCACCTCCGACGGAGAGGAGAGGAGAGAGAGAGAGTCTCTTTCAAAATAGATCTGCGAAGGAAGAAGCATGTTTGAAAAAAAAAAAACTAAGCCATGAATAAAAAGCAAAAAAAAAAAAAAGAAATCGAAAACTGATCCGAACCAAACCGAACCAAATCGATTTTTCGGTTCGGTTCCAATTCAGTTCGAGCAAGCTTCGGTTCGGTTCAAGGGGGTGCCTTTAATGGTTCGGTTCGGTACGGTTTTTCAAGAAAACCGAATCAAATCGAACCGTTTATATCCCCAACATGGCACGGTTAGTATTGACGTTGATAATTTTGTATAATATTTTAATATTTTTCCGTATTTTTTATTAATTTTTTTTTCCTTTGAGAACTTTGGCGGTTCCGGCAACCTTATAAAGAAATCACACAAGGACTTTTGATTGATCGCAAGAATTATTTATAGAGTTTTTCTAGATGATGGAGGATTGAAATTATGACTAGTCAAGATCTATATATGATATCACGATTAATTTTATAAATATATAGACCATGGAGAGTCATTCTCATCTCACTACAGTAAATTTTTCAATTATAAAAGACGAGAAAATAGCTGCCACATGGGGAATGATAAGAAGATACATACGCGAGTCGAAAATGAAATCAATTAAATTTTTTTTTTTGGAGAAGTTTGACCGCCGCCGGAACCTTATAAGAAATTACACAGGGAGTTTTGATTGGTCTGGAAAATCATTTATAAAGATGGTTTTAGATGATGGAGTTAAGAACATGCGAGTAGCTAAGATCTATCCATAGAATCGCTATCCATTTCTTGGATTCTAGTGGTATAGATCTCGTTGTCTCACTCGCTTTGGCACGTCTGTTTTTTTCTCTCACGAACCATTGGTAAAATAGAAATTTCAAGATAAGAACGACACTTACATGAGGAAAATTACCATGTAAGTCTAATATGCTGGTGCCAATTTGAGCATCAATCTTTCAATTGTGCCAACCTACTTTTAAATCTTTTGACAATTTACCATTAACATGGGAGTCTAGTCAATGCCGGCCATCTTATGTGGCTTGGCCGGGGCTTACGTGGACAATTTTGTAAAAATTTTGATTTTTTTTATGAATTTTTTTCCTTTTTTCCTTTTTCTGTTTTTTTCTTTCCTTTTCGTCAAGGGTAGGCAAGAGTCACCCTCGCCCAATTTAGAGAGGGCAGATTTGGCGAGGGCTGCTTCACCCACGGCCGGTGAGGACCTGGGTGTGGTGGCCTTAGCCCAGATTGGGCGACAGTCGCGAGCGGCCGGTGAGGGCCATGACCCTTGTCACCAGCCAATAAGGGTTTGCAAGCCCTCATTGGCCACAATAAAGAAAAAAAGAAAAAGAGAAAAAAAATATAAAGAAATTCACAATTTTTTTTAAAAGATTACAAAAATTATCCATATCGGTTCGGCGATGCCATATAGGACAACTAGCATCCACGTCAGCTATTCTGGCCAAAATTAGCCAGATAGACTATATTGGCAAATTATCAAAATATTTATGACTTAATTGGCTAAATTAAAATATTTAGGACTGAATTGACATAAGTATAATAGGTTTAAGACTTTTTTGGGGTAATATTCTCCACTTACATGCATAGTGCGAGTGAAATTGGAGATTGAAACAGCGTGAGTGAAAGATCTCCTGTTATAGGAAGAAAGTGCATTATTGGTGAGCACAAGTAGATATCAAAGATGGACCCATTCTATCACCCCTGTAGAAAGAAGAAGAAAAGAAAAGAGTAAGAAAAGCTCATGGTCCCGGACGCTGGGTAGTTGAAGCCTTGAATGCTTATTAAGTGATTCCCTCGACGTGTCCAACATCAACATGAAGTCTCATGAAGATGGACATCCCAGTTTCTGCAGGATTCTTCGAACCCTTTCTTCTGTAGAAAACAAAAACACTGCAGAGATTGATTCTTTGACCCCTAGTTGTGGATATGGAGACCGAGAAGAACGACACTTACGTTGTTCACAAAAAGACAAGATAAAACATGTCCTTTGTAGATCAGAATTCTCAGAAAAATTCATATCTAAGTAGATACAAGAAGTATCAGAACATGAATTATGGAAGCATTCTTCTGGAATGGATAGAGGGGAAGTGCACTTATTGATGATTGAGAGAGCAATGAGCATAATAAGAGCACAGCTGGCGCACGTACACATGCACAGAGAAAGGTATACGTGATACATGCATGTTAAATGAAATGTGTGCGTTACACGTGTGCATTCTTGAGTTTTGTAGGGTCATCGAGGTACTGTATATATTGTTTTCATGTCAAGGGCAAATGTAATTATTGAGAAATTTGCCCAAAAAGTCATAAACTGATTGTTCAGATGTCAATTTAGTCCTAAACTTTTCAAATTTTACCAATTGAGTCCTAAATCTTTACCCGAAATTCCAATGCAGTCCTTTCCGGTCAATTTTTGTCGAAAATCGTGGACGTGGAGATTCAGTCATCACCAGCCATCAGCAACTACCATGTTAGCGATTTATGGCAAAAATCAACTGAAATGACTACATTGGAATTTCGGTTATAAAGTTTAAAACTCAATTGACAAAATTTGAAAAGTTTAAGATTAAATGTAATCATTAGTTTACTTATCATTACTCTTACGCGATAATCATCTTATGTTGTCGAGTCTACCAATTCAGTCAAAAAAAATATTGGCATTTGCCACACTGTCCAACAGCGATGTTCGTAATTTAAAATTCCCAGTAGTTCGATTAAACCATAGTAATAAAGTTGAATTTTTCTTAATTACGAGATGCTTGAACAGTAATCTATCAAGCGATGTTCACAAACACGTAACGCCATCTACCTCTGCGGGAGTGATTATCTCTAGTGGTGTGTTAAACAATCGGGAACCGCTCGGGATCGCCTGGAACCAGACCAGAACCGGTGGTTCCTAAGGGAACCGGTCCGGTTTCCAATTCCAATTTTTGAGAATCGGTGGGTACCAGTCCGGTTCCAGGTGTGGAACAGCCTGCCTGCCCACCAGACCGGACCGGTAATATAATAATAAATATAATATATTTATTATTATTATTATTATTTATAAAAAAGATAGATCATAAATTTCAAAACTAAACCTAACTCACTCGACGCTTACAGCCTCACATTAAGCCGATAAACACTTTTTTTCGCTTTCATCTCACGCTCACTGCCACTCTCTCACTCTTCTCGATCAATGCTCACATCACCATCTCCGACTCTGCATCTCCATCTCCATCTTCATCTTTCCGTCTCCGTCCTTGGCTAGTGGGATCAGTTCCATAGACCCACTCGGGAGCCGGATCGGACCGGTGATCCAATTCCCAGGTGAATCCATGGAACCAACGGGTGGTTTTCAGTTTTAATTTTTCGGAACCGGTTCTTAGCGGGCAATTCCCGGTTCTAAGGTGGGAACTGCCAATCCGGACCATGCTCACGCCTAATTATCCCAATGATAAAGCGTGTATCAGCTTCGTTAAAATCTGTTTGAGAGGTTGCTGTCAGCTCGTCTGATCAGCCATAAGAAACGACAAGCAAAGCATGCGTCGCGCATCACTGTGGAAGGATAATCAGCTGTCTTATTGCCTGAAATTCAACCCCTGTCTTATCACTTTCCCTCTCGTTACAAGCCATTTTCAGTTTCAAGTTGTCACGTCGTCGATGTTCATCTGAAACTTAGGCAGGGTTCGGTCATGTCGTTAGAGATTAGCGGGGTTATGCTTAATCACGTTAGGATGGCGATGGGAAGGTGTATCTGTTTGGTGGTTGTTCCCAGAAAATGAGCTCTTCTTATATGGCATCATTTGCAATGGAGAAACAACCTATACCCAAAGACAGCAATGCTTTTTGTAGGGCGCACGCTCCTCGGACAATTCGTTACAATTACTTAGCAAACAGGCACGGCTGTTGCCCGCGGGCGCAAGAAATCGACATTTGAAAAGATTAAGCAAAAATCGGTTTGTTACGGAATGTTCGAATTATTCAATAATGTAAAGAGTTTATTGATAAATATGGCTGGATTACTCCAATTCCATAGATATCTTGAAAAGGCTGCTGGAAAAGGATATTTTTTTTAAAAATTTCAATCCACACTGTCAGTGAAAAAAAAAGAGTTGCTCAAGACATCATTCGGCTGTACAAGGAGAGTGGAATGAGTTGGTTAACGTACTAGGAAAATGACGCAAATGATTTTTGAATTTTAATTTAATGTGAAATGTGATTCATGAATTTTTAATTTGTTGAATATAGTCTATGAATTTTAGCCCAATGTTCAATGTCATCTTTAAACTTTTGATTTGTTCAATATAGTCCATAAACTTTTGATGCATATTCAATGTAATATCTGAATTATGTGAAAATGTTCGATATTGCTCCTGATCTTGAGTTAATGGAATGAGAATATTGAATATTGAATATCATTGAAGGACTAAATTGAATATGTTTAAAAAATCCATGGATCACAATGCACATTTATTAAAGTTCAATAATCACACTAAACAAATTAAAATTTTGATTGCAACGTACATTGAACTAAAGTTCAAAGACTATTTGTGTCATTATCTCTAACATAATCAAATTTCAATGGATTCTTCTCATCATCTTCGGTGGACTAAGGCAAATTCTCCGCAATGTGTCTGCTAGCTCACATCACAGGAATCCGTTCTCACACGAGAACCCAAAATTCAAGATTCGATCAAAGGTCTTGTCTGGGCTTCGCTAAGCCCAAAACGGTATGAGCTCCGTTCTTTTGAGCTGTCAGATTTGCCGGGCCTGCAGTGCAAGCAAACTAGCTCCTGCACAAACGATAGCAAAGATGCGATTCGAGCAAAACCCCCCGTGGGAGATAAATCTTGCATGCTCTACTGTGCTGTACCCTCCAGCGGATACAGCTTTCGGGATTAGAAAAAAGAAAGGATTTTTGAGGAAATCGCAGACTATTTTCTCAGTGTAGTTACTAAGTATACCTCACCAGAGAGACCTAAATCTCCGACTGGAGTCGCCTTGCCTATCCAGATGGATACATCCGGTGGGCTAACAGGATTGTATTCCTTATCTTAACGTGTCAGTATCCACACGTTCAGCCCCCTTATTGATTGTATTTTTATCGAGCTCAGTACCCGACTCTATCCACTTTGGCTACGTTTGGTAGTTAAGATAAAATTCAGGATAGAATAAATTTTATCCTATCCCGTGTTTAGTGCCTGCTCAAGATAGGATAAAGTCGGATGTAAGAGGGATATAACCCGGATAAAATTATCTCATGGGGAGGTGAGATAAATGTGGATAGGATTTTTAATATCTATAATATAAAAGTTATTTTTTTCGAATAACAAATTTGTTAAATTAATAAAAAAATAAAATTTGAATATAAATAAAATTTGAATTTTAATATAAAAAATTTAAAATAACAAAAAAATATCAAGAAATTCGTTTTTGTTTATTCTTATTTTTATTTATATATTCAAATTTCTTTCTATTTTATGATATAAATTTCATATATATATATACACATTTAATATTTATATTTATTACATATTTTAGACATATTTGTATAGTTTATTATTTAATAAAATTTTATTAGAGAATGATGGAAGGGGAAGAAATAAAAAAGAAAATACTTAAAAAAGAGAAGGAAAAATAATAAAAATAAATAAATAAAAATGAAATAGGTAAGAGTGTGGTGAGAGATTTTTATCATTTCCGTTTGTACAATTTTTAAGTTCATTTACACTGATATAATGTTCATAACAAATAACGAACATGGTAATACGTGGAAATATCCGATTTTATTACTGTGATTTAACAAACAGTATATAAGATATGAAATATATAGCAAATCCTTTTGATTATTTCATATCCTATCCTATCCAATTCTATCCTGATTAGAAATTCGGATGACCAAACGCAATCTTGATGTTTTTATGGCGACGTCCGCTACTTAGGACCAAATTCTTGCACGAATGACGGCAAAATGAGATTCCAGCGAAAACCCCAAGGGGGAGATAAATCTTGCATGCTCTACCGTGCTGTACCCTCCAGCGGATGCCGCCTTTCCTTTCCCAATCTCTGGAAAATCAAGTAAGACGGGATTAGAAAAAAGATGGGATTTTTGAGGAAACCGCAGACCATTTTCTAATCTTTTCCTTCCAATTTTGCTTCTATGGGGAAATCAATCCCTTCGGCGGCGCTGCTCCAGGACTTCGCGAGGGTCGTCTCGTCGTCGGACAAACTCCGCCTGCCGAAACAAGCGAGACCCATTTCAAGAATCCGGGTTTCGACCCCAGAGACGTCGAGACCCGGCGGCGGCGGCGGCGGCGGCGGCGGGGTCCGAGCCGACGACCCGAGGAGGATGGAGGGCCACGCGAAGAGCTTGGAGCCGGAGGGGAACAGTCGGGTGCCGCTGGGGCAGGTGGTGTCCGATTGCGCCAGGAGGTGGTTTCAAGACACGCTGAAAGAGGCCAAGGCTGGGGATGGTGCTATGCAGGTCTTGCTTGGCCAGATGTACAACTCCGGCTATGGTGTGCCCAGAGACCCCCAAAAGGTCCTTCTGGGTTCTCTGTTTTCGTTTCGTATGACTATTTGGTGCTCTTTAATGGTGTAGTAGATACCAGATAGATTGCAAGTGTCTGCGTTGCAGAATTTGAGCTCTCATTTGTATGCAGTTGTTGTCTGGACATGTCATTTTAGGTTCTTGAATTCAATGGGCACTTCTTTGATCGAGTGAGTGTTTCAGTATGCAGTTTGCGAGTTTTGCCTTTTCCTGTCAAAGGTTATGTCTTTATGAGAGAATGTATGCTGTGTACATTTGTGCCTGACTGTGTATGTGGGGGTTGGTGATTACCTTGAGGTCCTACGATAGTTTGAGACCGATTATTAATTAGCGGGGAGCAACCATTGTTAATGTAGACTTGATCAGTCCTCGTGTTGGTCAATCTTGATCCATATCGTCTTGTTAACATCTCACGAACTCATTTGAAGTTGTGTTTGGCCTTGTGATTTTATCAACAAGGGTCGTGCTTGGATTAATAAAGCATCAAAGGCTCGATCTTCGGTTTGGAGAGTAAGCGATAAGCAACCAGGTACTGATACTTTGGCTCACTAGCTCCTACCTTTTTATCCGCATATACACATGGCTGGGGCTCGATCATTACTGTTGTTTTTGATTGATTTTGTTAGGTTACAATGCAAGCGACTCTGATTCTGGTGAGATGGACAGCGAAAAAAACTAGATTCAGGGTGAGTAACACTAATATTTTCTCATGTCATTTGCCTATTGATTCACAATCATGTGCAATTTTGATTCCTATTCATTGCTGAGTTGCATGGGTACTGTAGAAGTAGCATTGAATCTTTCATGTGCTGTCAGTGTGAATGAGACAAGGCAAGCTTCTTTTTATCATCAAATACGTTTTCATAAGCTTTAAGTTCGTTTTTCCTTACACTGTCCTGAGAATAAGACACATTACACATAGTGTTATAGTGTTCCTTTTCATGCTTTTGCACATCCTTCTGGTCAACTCCGAAATTACTAAACTAGGGCATATTATTGCATTTCAACTAAATGACTCAAACCGAAATGACTTAATTCATGCCCTCAAATGACAACTGAAGTACTTATTTGAGAACAAGGCTAACACAATTTCAGGGTATTTCATATTTCATAAGCGTTTACTAAAGACATCAAACTTAGTCCTATGATACTCCTCTGTATGTTGTCTTTTTGACCTCCTCAGACCAAGTATGCAAAGGACACAGGGACCGTTTGGTTGGGAAGTCATGGTAGTTGTACAAGTCAAACAGACCATATCTCTTTTCCTACGAAATTCTGCAGCTTCTTGTTTCCAAGCTGAAAAGGTCTCTTATTCTCTCGGCTAAGGCTTATAGACAAAATTGAAACAGAAAATTGAATCACTAGTTATCCAGAGCATTTCTGTTTTGGATGCAGTTTTGGATGTAATGCCTCCTCTTTTTTCTCTTCTTAGTTGCATGGTGCAAGCATCAGTCCATTTCATGGAAAATCAAATTCCTTTCTACCTGTATGTAACGCATGGTTTTATCATGTCACTGAAGCATATGTATTGTGTTCGGCAGAAAGAAACTTTAACATCACGTTTGAAACTGCTGCTTTTTTTTTGTCCTTCCCTTGTATTGTTTCCCTAATGACCACTGCATGATCTTTTTGTTGCATCTCTGTTTCTTCATTTCTTTTTTGCCACCATATGCTGCATCTTGTTTGGTTGTCTTTGCCACATTTTCCTATTTTCTGGTTTCTTACTCTTGAGCAAAGCAAACAAAGCAAGACTGTCACTCTTTTTTCTTAGCAGGCAGACTTGGACTCTCTCCTTCCCACTACTTAGACCTGTCTATTGATCTCAAAGGTCCTTTGACTCTTCGCATCTGTTTGCATGCAGCCTATGAAGTGCGTCTGCTTTCTGTGGATACAAGCATCTGCTCGTGCTGCATTGGCTATGTGATCATTCCGTTGATGTTTAACAAGGGCTGGCCAATTGAATAGAATCAATTGCACAATGATTTGTGCTTCCTCTTTAACGTGGTATACTAATGTAGCTGAGGAAGTACGTTTGCTGAGAGAATGCTATCCTCCATCTTCAGTGTCAATCTGCCAAAGCATTAGCAGAGCAGTCAGCCTCCCTGAACATGTGCTCCACCTTGATTCGTTGGACCTCCCTGTCAAATTCATGCATCAAAGATGCTTCGCTTTTATGAGAACATTGGTTAGATTAGTTGTTAAAACATTCACTTCATTTGATGAATTTGAATTGGGCAATGCTACTTAGATAGAATATCGCATTCATGAAATTGGCGAGTATGATTTAAATTTAATTATGTGGATAATTTACCAGCACCTTTCTTATGGTTCATTCAAGATGCAAAACAGCCTCTCTGAAAAATTAGGGATGAGACTCTGTACATCAGGCACTCAGTGCAATGCAGGGAGCCTTATGCATTGGTATGCCCTTTTTATTGAAGATGGCACACGGGAAAACATAAACCAGAAGCACTAGGACTCTTTTATTTAAACATGAGCCAGTCTTTGTCTAGCATATGAAGGACCCGCAAAAGTATAGATAGATTGATTACCTAAGCATTTTATCTACGCGAATTTCGGTTCAAAAGAAGCAGAACTCTCCCTTTTCTAGTGAATCTCAGGATACACCTATTTTGAACATTCATCAGGTTTTCTTTTACTTGCGGTTTTGTTGATCATTGTTTATCTTTCCTTGCCATGATTTACTTTCTCTTGTATGTTTTTATCTTAGTAGAATTTTGCTTCGGATATCCTAGACTGGCACCTTGCAGGCTTTCGGTATGTAATGGTGTCCTTTTTCTTAAGCATTGACTTCGAATTCCAATGATCTTCTAAGGATTCATTTTCACCTTTATCAATGTTTACTCATACTTAGCTACACCTTCATAACCTCATGGAACAAACAAAACTTCATATATTACATCTTTCACTGATCTCAGATGATCGATTTGGTTAGGCTGTTCTAGGATTTGCACTAGCCTTGAACTTAGCATATATTTACAACAGATGATAAAACATATTCTTCTCTCTAAGAATTGAAAAGCTTTGAATAGATTATAGTCCCTATACTTCAACACTTGGCCAACTGCATTTCCCCGGAATGAAGGGTTGAATCAGATTTAGGTAAACGTCATCTCCCCTCTCGTCTATTCTTCCTCCATTCCCATGGCTCCTCAGGGTTTGATGAAGCCCACAAGCCTACGCGCTTTGCCCGTGCATTCTTCTCCCACTGCTCATGCAACATTCAGGATACAGAATTCATATCACACAGAATCGGGTACAGCAATGTGAAGAATCAGTAGGCTACCTTTGCAAATTCTGCACGTTGGTCGTAGGCTGTGTAATGCCATGCCATCCCTTTCTTGAGCATCAACTCCTGTGCTTGGAGATGGAGAAGAATGAGGAATTGTAGAGGAAAAAGTGGAACTGAGAATGGAGTGGGAATACAAAGCAGCTCAACAAACATGCAGGTATGTAACCACTAGAAGCCATTGTTGATATTGTAAATTTGCATTACTATTCCTGCTCAATGGGCGGGCTTTGGCTCATGCAGCCAAACATCCCCCAAAGCATTAAGCTATGGTTCAGTTTCAGCTGTCTGCCAAAGTCCAACCATGAACGACATTTCAGTTTAGAAAACAAAAGAAAAGAGATCGATTGAGCATAAAGCCAGTTTGATTTGTCCAAGCATGTTTATTATTTAACTCGTCGTTTTCCCTGCCTTGGCCTGGTTAAGTTCCTGACTGATTCCTCATAGGCCGTTGAATATACTTGTCAAAAAAGTCGAGGCTAGGGAGAAGTCAGGTTTACCTGTACAAAGATGCCGTTGCAGTATATATCTCCTACGGACCGGCCATATCGATCTTCTCCATACACAAGAATTCTCAAACACTTCCCTTCAACAATCTTTACAAGCTCCTCCTTAGCCTCTCTGCCATATGGCATCGAACTCTCTGGAGCATCTATCCCCCTGTTTCATAAGGCAATAGTACTTGGAAGAGTAAAGAGAAAAATTTGCCAATTAGAATGCATCAAATGCCTAGTTTTACCTGAGCCGAATTCGGTACTTCCGAGCAAGGACTTCCTCATTCTGAACTTTTATTGCCCTGCCGATAGCAACTATGATCAACCAGTGAATTACTCGTGCAGGGATAGAAGAAATTCGACAGACGATGAGCGTGACTATTCATATGCGATCAGGACAACACACCGATATCCTGCGTCCACAATGCTTTTGTGCAGTGCATCTGCACGAAAGTAGTCCCTCTGATCACGGGCTTCTGATCTTTCGAGGGCTGAGATCTGGACTTCTTGTGGGACCAAGCACGATTCTCTCGGATCGGAAGTGCTAACGTACACGGTGATGGTGTCCCCATCTGCCACAGCTCTTGCATCCACCTGGTAAAAGTTTACTGAAGTTATTCAGAAGATTGTATGACAGCTGTTTTCGATGTGAACTTCACTCTGAATCTAGGGATCATTTGTTCGTGGATTGTACAGTTAAGGAACTCTGGGCTAATGTTTGTAGAAGATGTGCTGTGGTTACATCTGTCCAGATTTGGGATAGTGAGTTCAAGTCTGAATTCTCAAAACTTAAAGGGTACAGTCCTATCAAAATATTCGAGGTAGTTTGGTGTGCCACGATTTATCATACTTAGGCTTCCAGGAATAGGACGATACATGTAGCTGGTTTTGTTCTTTGTATCAGTGATATCTTGTCTAGAATACAAAATTGTGTGCTGTGTAGATTTAATGATGTTAAGCTAGCAAATTCCGTGTTGCCTCAACAATTGTAGGTCTGTGGGACCCTGGAAGGAACTTGTTATAGTAGTTGTGCTTGGAGCTGATGATACTGATGTTACACTTGTAGCTGCAGGTGCTATGTTGTAGCAGCTCTGCTGCTCTTTTAAGTTTATCAATGAAATGCTTGCTCACATAGCAGAAAAATAAGATATTCAGAAGATGCCACAGACAAATACATAGAAAGAGATTACGGAATGTTTGAGTTAGTTTTGGGTTCATAACTGGAAGTGTGTGAAACTCAAACTTCACTCCTTGAGGCAATCCCACTGGAACTTCAGCTGCCGTCTCAACCAGGGTGTGCGGAAGAGGTAGGCCATAGAATGCCAATAAACCCTACCACATCAGATAAAGTACAACAGCCAACAATTAGAAAGAGTAAAAAAAAAAAAATGATCTCCTTCATCCCCCTGAGGATAATGGGAGTGAAATGCTAATGAAAAGTTCAAGATTTTCACTTATTTTTGGTTGATCTACCTCAACATCAGCCTTCCCCCTGAGGATAATGGGAGTGAAAAGCTAATGAAAAGTTCGAGATTTTCATTTATTTTTGGTTGATTTACCTCAACATCAGCCTTGTGGTGTTTCTTCAGGGTCTGGACAACAAGCCTTGATGCTTCTTCAGGTGTTCTTGGAGGTGGATTTGATTCTCTCCATGCCACTAGTAGCTTTTTATACCTTCATTTTCATTAAACAATTGCGGCAACAAGAGTTTAAAATTTGAACTTTAAGATTATGAAATCAAGCTAATTCCTTCAGGACAGAGCAGATTCACATTTCAAGAAAGGTTTTTTTTTTGGGACATTTCAAGAAAGTTAAGTACTGTGAATGTAAAGTGAATCAATTTACCAATTAGCTTGAGCTTTCCTTGAAGAAGCCACATGGTTGCTTAGCCCTTCAGGAACCTTCAAACGCTCAACCGTATAAAGAGAAAAAAAGAGAAAAAGAAGCAAAGAGAAAAGTTCCACAAATCTCATCTCACTCCTATCTCAGCCCCGAAATGACGGCGACCCGTCACCGTTATCGGGGAAAACAACTTGCCTTGGAGGTGATTTCGAAGCTGAGCAGATCTTGGGCGAGAGCCGAGACGCCGACGGTCGCGGCGGAGACGCCGTGGGGGCCGAGGGAGCCGGAGTCCCCGGCGGCGGACGGCTTACAGCAATTGCCGTATAGGAATCCGAGGGCGTTCCCCATTCCTGGGCTTCAAAGCTCTGATGGTTTGAAGCCTGGCCGGCGACGGTGGAGATGGACGGAAGAAGAAAGCTTAGGGAGACAGAGAGAGAGATGGATTTTGCAGAAAATAAGGAAGCCCAAGGAGGGGTTGGATTTGGTGGCAGGACTGTTGATTGATGACGTTGACCTTTCTCTTTTTTCGGGGGACCGACAAGTACATACGAGCTTGTATGTATTAAGGAGCATGGACGGGAAAGAGAGAGAAGAGACCAACGGGAAGATGGTGGACACGTGTCTCGTTCCTATTTGCCGGAAGCACGCGGTCTGCCAACTTGGTCCGGCTACATCATTATGTCAGAAGATGCTCTTTTTTGGTGATTATTTCGGGTTGAGTGAAAGACAATCATGACTTCCTTAATTTTGTGCTTTTTCTTGCCTTTGATGATGGAGTGCAATTCTCCTCGGACGAGACCTCATGTGATCCATGTGTTTGGGAGTGCAGTTCTCATATAAAGACACAAACTTTAGATCAAGTTTCCATTTCTAAATAATTTTGTTATCGTAATAAAGTATCGACTTTGGCTGGAATTGTAATACTAGCTCAAATTTATTGTCCCATGAAAAACATAAATTTTAGCTCGCTAAGGATAAAACTGTTTTTTGTTTAGTAAAAAAGTATCAACTTTCCGTCGGTACCAAAATCCGACATTCATTAAGCTTTTGTCCGATAATGTTTTTATAGATCTGACGTGTCCTTCTAGTTACACTCGGCATCATTGAACGAAAATTTAACAGGGGCAAAATTTGGGTATCAACCGAAAGTTTGTGCTTTTTTATAAGAAGAAAAGTTTGGGCTAAAATTAGGATCATGAGTTAAAGTTTAAGTGTTTTCTTTTATGAGGCAAAAAAAGTTTTGACCAAAATTGAAACTCAAACTAGAGTTGATACTTTTTTATGATACAAATTTTTTGAACTAGAGTTGATACTTTTTTTTATACACAAAAAATTGGATACAAGCTAAAATTAATGCTTTTAATGGAAATTAGGTCCATGTTTTATATGATTTGAGGACCGACCCACTCCTTCCTTCACGGTTGGAGTGGAGATCGATTCTCGAAATGAGCTTGCGACCCATTTATGTCTTAAATGAGTCTTGGCTTCATGCAAATTTACTTTGGACTTAATCAATCGTGAGTAAATTTGGTCCATTGTTGACAGATATCTCATATGTGATCTTTGCGACAATGTAGAGCGCACTTTGAAAATGTTACAAAGTGTCCCTAGTGAACTTTTTTTTTGTCAAATCACTGGTGAACTTATTAAGCATCATTAAATATACTTTGAGGATATAAAATTATAATATTTAAGATGATTAGCCTTCACAAAAGTTCGAAAAGGTTTTGGCTCACCTTTGCATGGTGTGGTGAGTAGAGTCTCATGGGCCGATGCATGATGTCGGGCCTTGTTAGAGTACTGGGCCCATTAGAATTCTACCCAATATCACTATCGCGTGGGATTCCATCTTCCTTAAGTACTCATGACTTCATTGTCGGTCACTTTTTCTAAGGATCGTAATTATCCTGAAGTGCTCGTGATTAATTGATTTAGGGGTGACCCAATAAGACAATTCGACAGCCCATACCTTCTTTTGTTAATTAGATTAGAGATCCCATTGAGCCGTATTCATTTATTTTTATGGTAACAGACCGTACAAAGATCTCAACGAGCAAATTTGTTATCGAATTAAGTTATAGGTATTGTCGGCTAAAGAGGACCCAACCGCCCTTTGTCGTCAGTCTATTTCATCTCCGAGACCCACCTGGTGCTATGACCATTAAGCTTATTAGGGTACTAAGCCCATTTGAGTCATTGATAAATGATCTAATAGCTATGATTAACGGAGATCCGAGTTTATATGACAATTTTTCTATGTCCCGTTTGGGTACCGATATTTGTATCGAAGTTTGGAGCAGTGCATGCCATTGTCAATGTAATTCATCTACCCCAGATGCCATTCGGATCCCATGAGAAATCAATAGAAAAAAGAAGGTAAGACCTTTGTAAAAAGCAGAATTAGTCATTCTTCCACATGACACCAAGTTTTCTTTCACTTGCAGTTTTGTTGATCATTGTTTATCTTTTTCCCTAGCCACGATTTACGCTCTCTTGCATGTTTTTTCTTAGTATGGTTACTGTTCACGTAATCCTAGACCGGCACCTTGCACGCTTTCGATATGTAATGGCGTCCTTTTTGACGCATTGAGTGACTTTATATCCCTATGATTTTCTAAGGATTCATTTCTATTAGGATTAGGCGTACAAACACAACGAAATAGAGAATCAAGACGAGAAAGAGAAATCGAGATACAAGATTTATCTTTATTCACCTTTAAACTGGGGCTACATTCAGCAAATGATTCCACTATATATATAGGTAGCACAAGAAAAATCTAGAGGTCGAAAAAGCCTTAGGTCACTTGATAGCTATTCATGAATCAAAACTCAAATTACCAATAAAATATGAGCGCAAACTATAAAAACCTCGAAAAGCCTATGGACACTGCTCCTGGGACCCGTGACCGTGGGAGCAGTGGGGGCCCGGCCCCACTTGGTGAATATTTCTTTGTACCGAGTCTCAGGATACACCTATTTTGAACATTAACCAGATTTTCTTTTTCTTGCAGTTTTGTTGATCATTGTTTATCTTGCCCTCGCCATGATTTACTTTCTCTTGCATGTTTTTTCTTAGTAGAATTTCCCTTTATGAGATCCCCGACTGGCACCATGCACGCTTTCGGTATATGTAATGGTGTGCCTTTTCTTACGCATCCAGTGACTTTGTATCCCTGTGATTTTCTAACGGTTCGTTCATTTTCGCCCTTATCAATGTTTAGTCATAGCTACACCGTCATAACCTCTTGGAACAAACAGAAGTTCATACATTAGATCTTTCACTGATCTCAAACGATCGATTTGGTTAGGCTGTTCTAGCTTTCGCACTACAACTTAGCCTATATACAACAGATGATAAAGCATACTCCCTCTCTATATGAATTGGAAAGCTTCGAATAGAAAATAACCCTGTACTTCAACACTTGGCCAGCTGCATTTCCCCGGAAGGGCAAACGGTTGAATAATCAGATTTAGGCAAACGTCATCTCCCCTCTCGTCTATTCCTCCTCCTCCATTGCCATGGTTCCTCAGGGTTTGATGAAGCCCACAAGCCTACGCGCTCTGCCCGTGCATTCCTCTCCCACTGCTCATGCAACATTCAAGATACGGAATTCGTATCACATATAGCAAGGTGCAGAAATGGGAAGAATCAGAAGGCTACCTCAGCAAACTCTGCCCGTTGGTCGTAGGCTGTGTAATGCCATGCCATCCCTCTCTTGAGCATCAACTCCTGTGCTTGGAGATGGAGAAGAATGAGGAATTGTATAGGAAAAAGTGGAACTGAGAGTGGAGTGCGAAGACGAACTCAACAAACATGCAGATATGTAACCACTAGAAGCCATTATTAGTATGGTAAATTTGCATTGCTATTCCTGCTCAATGTGTGGGCTGTGGCTCGTACAGCCTGACCTCCCCCGGAGAATTAAGCTATGGTTCAGGTCCAGCCATCTGCCAAAGTCCAACCATGTAGCGACATTTCGGTTTAGAAAGCAAAAATAAAGAGATCGATTGAGTGTTAAGCCAGTTTTATCCATTAGTCTTTGTTCAAGCATGTGTGGTCATTTTACTCGTCTTTCTTTCCCACCTTGCCCTGGTTAAAGTTCCTGACTGCTTATTCGTATGCCGTTGATAACACTCGTCAAAATGTTGACGCTAGGGAGAAGGTGGGTTTACCTGTACAAAGATGCCGTTGCAGTGTATATCTCCTACCAACCGGCCATATTGATCTTCTTCATACACAATAACTCTCAAACACTTTCCTTGAACAATCTTTGCGAGCTCCTCCTTAGCCTCATTGCCATATGGCATCTGACCCTCTGGAGCATCTATACCCCTGTTTCACATGGCAATAGTTCTTGGAAGAGTAAAGAGAAAAGTTTGCCAATTGGAATGCGTCAAATGCCTAGTTTTACCTAAGCCGAATTCGGTACTTCCGAGCAAGGACTTCGTCATTCTGAATAGCTATTACCCTGCAAAAAGACAACTATCATCAACCAGTGAATTACACATGCAGGGATAGAAGAAATGTGACAGACGATAGTCGTGACTGTTCATAAGCCATCAGGATAACACACCGATATCCTGCGTTCACAATACTTTTGTGCAGTGCATCTGCACGAGTGTAGTCCCTCTGAGCACGAGCTTCTGATCTTTCGACGGCTGCGATCTGGACTTCTTGTGGGACCAAGCATGATTCTCTCGGATCGGAAGTGCTAACGTACACGGTGATGCCATCCCCATCTGTCACACATCTTGCATCCACCTGGTGAAAGTTTACCGAAGATATTCAGAAGATTGTATGACAGCTGAATTTGTTGTGAAACTTTACTCTGAGTCTAGTGATCATTTCTTTACGGATCGTATGAAAGCTAAGGAACTATGGGCTGATGCTTATAGGAGACGTGGCCTTATTAGATCTATCCAGAGTTGGGATAGCGAGTTGGAAAAGGATGTCTTGTCTAGAATACAAAATGATGTGTTGTATAGATTCAATGATGCCTCAACACTTGGAGGTCTGTGGGACACTGGAAGGAACTTGTGTTATAGTTGTTGTGCTTGTAGCTGATATTACTGATCTTATAGCTGCTGGTGTTATGTTGTAGTAGCTCTCTTAAGTTTTTCAATGGAATGGTTGCTCACATAGCAGAAAAAAGAAGATATCCAGTAGATGCTACAGAAAAATACATAAAGATAATGAAATTTTGAGGAAGTTTTGGGTTCATTACTGGAAGTGTGTGGAACTCAAACGTTACTCCTTGGGCAGGAGCCGAGACGCCGGCGGTCGCGGCGGTGACCCCGTGAGGGGCAAGAGAGTCGGACTCTCCGGTGGCGGACGGCTTACAACAATGGCCGTATAGGAATCCAAGGGCGTTTCCCATTCCTGGCCTTCAAGCTCAGAGATAGAGAGAGAGAGGGGGAGAGATGAATTTTGCAGAGACTACTGAAGCCCAAAGGATGCGTTGGATTTGGGTGGAAAAGCTGTTGATTGGTGACGTTGACTTTTCTCTATTTTTTGGTGGGACACAGAAATTACTTGGGAGCTTATATTAAGAGCAATAACGGGAAAGAGAACAGAGACCAATGGGAAGAAAGTGGACACGTGTCTCGTTCTTATTTGTCGACAGAGCGGAATTAACCAACTTGGTACCAGCTACATTATGACAGAAGATGCTCTTTTGGTGATTTTTTCAGGTTGAGTGTAAGACAATCATGAATTCCTTCATTTTTTGCTTTTTCCCCTTTGATGATGGAGTGAAATTGAAGGAGGCCTCATGTGATCATTTTTGGGAGTGCAATTCTCTTTCAAAGGCACAAACTTTAATTCGAATTTCCATTTTGAACTAAATATTTTTTTTTCCATAAAAAAATATCAGTTTTGGTTCGAGTTTCAATTCTAACCCAAGCCTTTTTTTTTTTTTCGGTCACGTAAAAGAACACAAAATTTAGCTCGGATCTTAATTCTGGCCCTAACTCTTTTTGTCTCATTAACTAGCTCCCGCTTTCAGCCGGTACCCAAATTCAGCACCCGTCAAGCTTCCGTCCAATGATGTCGTAAAAGATTTAACGTGTCATTCCACATAGGCTTGGCATTATTGGACGAAAACTTGACAGAGGTAAGATTTGGATATTAACTGAAAGTTTGTACTTTTTCATGAGATAAAAAAAATTTGGGCCAAAATTGGACCCGATCTAAAGTTAGTGTTTTTTTTATGAGACAATAAAAGTTTAGGCCAAAATTAAAACTTGAACTAAAATTGATGCTTTTTTGTGAGATGAAAAGAATTGGGCAAGAATTTGGATCCAAGCTAAAATTGACGAAAAGAATTAGGTCTATGTTTACGTAATTTGAGGACCGACCCACTTCTTTTCTTCATGGCTGGAGTGGACATCGATTCTCAAAATGATCTTGCCACCCATTTGGGTCTTAATCAAGTTTTGGCCTTGTTTTGGTCTAGGATTTCATGACACCAGGCTTTCTTAATTCACTTGCAGTCTTGTTGATCATTGTTTATCGTTCCCGAGCCACGATTTATCCTCTCTTGCATGTTTTCTCTTAGTATAGTTACCTTCACGAAATCCTAGACTGGCGCACCTTGCACGCTTTTGATATGTAAGGATCCTTTTTGATGCATTGAGTGACTTTGGATCCCTGTGATTTTCTGAGGATTTATTTTCGGCATTATCAATGTTTAATCGTAGCTACACCTTCCACAACCGAATGGAACAAACAGAGCTTCGTACATTAGATCCTTCATGGGTCTTATATGATGATTTGGCTAAGGCTGTTCGAGCTTTTGCATTAGATTAGCATACACACAACAGATGATAAAGCATATTCTTCTCTATATCAGTCGGAAAGCTACGAGTAGATCGTAGTCCCTGTACATCAACACTTGGCCAGCTGCATTTCCCCATAATGCCAAAAGGCTGAATCAGAAGTGGGTGAAGTCATCTCCTCTGTTGACACCTAACTTTTGGCGAGATAGTTAGTCGTTCGTTACATAAAAATTAGGGATCGATCCCGGTCCCTAGAAAAAAAAATAGTTAAATTGCATATAGATTAGGAGCATTTGAATTAGTATTTAGGCTCGTATAGTTGCATTTGTATTGGACCAGCGAATGAATTTAAGTGAATGGTTTTGAGCTTAATTAATTGGACTCAGCCCGAAAGATTGAATGTTTGTCCAAGTCCATTGACTACATATATAGCCGAAATTTGCATTATAGAGCAAGTTGGAATAATTGAATTATCAAATTATTAAATAATATACTTGGAAGATAATTCATATTATTCTATGAATATTCAGCTAGAGGAAGTAATCAGAAAATTGCCTAAGTTGAGTATCAGAATTAGGAAATAATATATCTGGACTCTTGCAAGATAATCCTGGCTAACTCTTATAAATAGATGTGTTAGGGTTCACAATCGGAGAGCCACAAAATTGAAGATACACGATCATAGAGAGAGAGAAAAGGGATAGAGTTATTTCCCCACGGCATTGTCCAAACCAACGACCTCCCATCGTCATCTATCGCTCTGGTCGTTGCTGTCCAAGCTCTCTCCAATGCCAAACAAGCACTGGCGTTAATCCGAATACTCTCTGTTGATCTCAGCTAGTCTTGCTATATATTCCAGTGTTTTGTTTTTGACCTCCCATCACATAGACGGCCACACATGTTGAAAGACACGGCCACAACGAGGTAGAGGGAGCATGTTCAGCAGCATAGACGGTCACAGAAAAAGGGAGCCGCAAGGAAAGGACGTTGAAAGAGATAGAGAAGTGGTGTTGATTTCTCTAAGACAGCATTACACGAAGTAGGAGTCCTCACGGAAAAAATCAGAGAGCTCTTGGCCATCAAAGCACTTGCACAGAAGTCCATTGGCCAAGTGGGACGCACAAAACACAGACAAGGAGACACTTGGCCGTGAAGAGGACTTTTGGAGGCACACGTTGAAAAGCGTCAGTGGAGAGATTCAATCCATTCACGCCACACATCTTCCCGGGCATATCCCAATCTTCACCACCGCCGGTACCGAGCCGAGTCCCATTCGGTCGGCCACCGTCGCCATGATCCGCAAACCCAATCCCGAGTTGAGTTCAAATTTGGAAGTTGTCCGCGAAATTAAGTAAAATTCTCATCCAATACTCTTAAAATATTTGATTTTCTAATTTTTCGGTGTTTGAATATTTCGTGATATCTTTGGTGGATTGTTAGAAATCTTTGGGATAATGTATGCAGTATCCGCAATATTTAAAATACCCTAAATTAGGAATTTTTTCCTAATTTGGCAACTTACCTGGATGATTATCTGATATTGACCCTAAGGTAAGGTATGATACAAGGTGGTGCGGAAATCGTTATCTTATCCATAATCACTCGGATACGATAACGGATTTTATTCCCTTTCCAAATTCAAATGGTCGGCTTTCGATCAATATCCACGATCCTGTGGATATGATCACTAGCCATAGTCGTTTTCCTAATTTGAAGATGATAAAACAAATATTGCGGATCGCGTGGATTAATTTCGATCATGGTGGTTATCTATTTGTTTGATTTTATTTCCTTTAAAAGAAAATCCCAAAAAGATTAGTTAGGATTTGATTCATTTTTTATTATTATTATGCATGCGTAGGATGTGTTTATGTAACTTGCTTTGAATAGAATAGGATAGCCTAGATTTGCTAGAAAGATAGGATAATTTTCCAATGTAAATTAGGATTTAAAGTAATTTATTTTCTAGTTTAATTTAGATATTATCTTAATCTTGATAGTTAATTTAAGGTAATTTCTAATTTCGAATTTTCATTAAAAAAATACCAAAAAGAAGTCACTTTTGAATAAGTTAAACTGTCTTTCTAGAGTAGATCGCATGTTTAATTTAGATAAATTTTAATTCCAAATTTTATTGAAAAAACACCAAAAATACCTCATTTGCCCATCATTAGAATTAGATTCATTTAATCGCATGTCATATAGTTTTCATGCTAGGTTTAATTAATTGCATGTCATACTTTGCACGTCATGGTACGTAGGTTAGTTTTCATTTAATCAAGAGAAAACCAAACAAAAAATATATCGAGTGAAGTGCTTGTTAATTAGAAATCATAATAGGACTGTTTGTGTTATTTTCTAGCTAATAATGCAGATGCTTACGTTGCTAAAGAGTACATTGTTCCCCTAAACTAGTAATTTATTTACTGCTTTCTAGGTGTTAAATTGGTGAATTGCGCACCTACATGGTCATCTCACATGTTAACGACTAGGTAATAAAATGGGCTTGCTTAAACTTTTTTTTTTAAAAGAAAAGGTACCGAAAGGGCGTTAGATTAAATATGGCGTGACCAAGTCCCCGAACTCAAAATCTATAAAACATATCTCCCTATGTTTTATTTGGGTTTATAATCGACCCACCGCAAATAGATTAGTGGCGACTCCAGCATGAAAACATTTGGATGTTGAGAACTTAAACTCTACAACGCGAATTGGTAAAGCTTGGAAGGGCTTGAATTTAGCTTAGACTTAATAATCGCGAATTGGTAGAGCTAATTTGGCTTAGATTATACATTCGTGAATTGGTAGAGCTAATTGGTAGAGCTAAGTTGGCTTACATTATATATTCGAGAATTGGTAGAGCTAAGTTGGCTTACATTATATATTCCCCTAAGTTGGCTTATATGACATATTCGTGAATTGGTAGAGCTAAGTTGGCTTACATTATATATTCCGCTAAGTTGGCTTATATGACATATTCGCGAATTGGTAGACCTTGGGAGGGCGCTTAGACTTAATAATCCATTAGCCGAAGCCTTAGGTGGTGCACCATCGAGGTAAGATCGCGACATCCCCTCTCGTTTATTCTTCCTCCATTCCCATGGCTCCTCAGGGTTTGGTGAAGCCCACAAACCTACGCGCTTTGCCCGTGCATTCTTCTCCCACTGCTCATGCAACATTCAAGACAGATTTCAGATCACATATAGCCGGGTACAGCAATACGAAGAATCAGTAGGCTACCTTTGCAAGCTCTGCACGTTTGTCGTAGGCTGTGTAATGCCACGCCATCCCTTTCTTGAGCATCAACTCCTGTGGTTGGAGATGGAAATGAATCGAGGAATTGCACAGGAAAAAGTGGAACTGACAATAGAGTGCGATTACAGAAGCGGCTCAACAAACATGCTGGTATGTAATCACTAGAAGCCATTGTTGATATGGCAAATTTGCATTTGCTATTCCTGCTCAATGGGCAGGCTTTGGCTCGTCAAGCCTGACCTCCCCCAGAGCATTAAGCTATGGTTCAGTTCAGCTGTCTGCCCGAGTCCAACCATGAAATGAAGTTTCCATTTAGAAAACAAAAGAAAAGAGATTGATTGAGCGTAAAGCCAGTTTGATTCATTAGTCTTTGTTCAAGCATGTTCGGTCATTTAGCTCGTCTTACTCGCCTTGGTCTGATTAAAATTCCTGACTGATGACTCGTAGGCCATTGAATATACTTGTCAAAAAGTAGAGGCTAGGGAGAAGTCGTGTTTACCTGTACAAAGATGCCGTTGCAGTATATATCTACTACACTCCGGTTGTATCGATCTTCTCCATACACAAGAACTCTCAAACACTTTCCTTCAACAATCTTTGCAAGCTCGTCCTTAGCCTCTTTGCCGTATGGCATCTCACCCTCTGGAGCATCTATCCCCCTGTTTCATAAGGCAATAGTACTTGGAAGAATAGACAGAAAAATTTGCCAATTAGAATGCGTCAAATGCCTGGTTTTACCTGAGCCGAATTTGGTACTTCCGAGCAAGGACTTCCTCATTCTGAACATTTATTACCCTACAGATAGACAACTATGATCAACCAGTGAATTACTCGTGCAGGGATAGAAGAAATGTGACAGACGAAAATCGTGACTGTTTATATTGCGATCAGGATAACATACCGATATCCAGCTTCAATAATACTTTCGTGCAGTGCATCTGCACGAGTGAAGTCCCTCCGAGCATGGGCTTCTGATCTTTCGACGGCTGCGATTTGGACTTCTTGTGGGACCAAGCACAATTCTCTCGGATCAGAAGTCCTAACGTACACGGTGATGCCGTCCCCATCTGTCACAGCTCTTGCATCCACCTGGTAAAAGTTTACCGAAGATATTCAGAAGATTGTATCACAGCTGTATTTGTTGTGAGCTTCACTCTGAGTCTAGAGATCATTTCTTCATGGGCTGATGCTTATAGGAGATGTGGTGTTGTTAGATCTGTCCAGAGTTGGGATAGTGAGTTGGAATTAGATATCTTGTCTAGAAGACAAAATGACGTGTTGCATAGATTCAGTGATGTTAAGCTCGCAAATTTTGTGTTGCCTCGATACTTAGAAACTGGAACTTGTTATAGTTGTTGTGCTTGCAGCTGATGATACTGATGTTACACTTGTAGCTGCCGGTGCTATGTTGTAGCAGCTCTTTTAAGTTAATCAATGATTTGCTTGCTTACATAGCAAAAAAATTGTAGATATTCAGAAGATGCCACAGACAAATACACAGAAAGAGATTATGGAGTGTTGAGAAAATTTTGGGTTCATAACTGGAAGTGTGTGAAACTCAAACTTCACTCCTTGAGGCAATGCCACTGGAACTTCACCTGCCGTCTCAACCAGGGTGTGCGGAAGAGGTAGACCATAGAATGCCAATAAACCCTACCACATCAGACAAAGTACAACAGCCTAAAATTAGAAAAAGTGAAAACAATCAGCTCCTTAATTCCCCTGAGGATAATGGGAGTGAAAGCTAATGAAAAAATCCAAGATTTTGACTTGTTTTTGGTTGATTTACCTCAACATCAGCCTTCTGGTGTTTCTTCAGGGTCTGGAGAACAAGCCTTGATGCTTCTTCAGGTGTTTTTGGAGGTGGATTTGATTCTTTCCATGCCACTACTAGCTTTCTATACCTTCATTTTCATTTAAAAGTTGCAGCAACCAAAATATAAATTTTGAACTTTAAGATTGTGATATCAAGCTAATTTCTTCAGGACAGAGCAGAATCCCATTTCAAGAAACTTAAAAGTACTGTAAGTGTAAAGCAAAACAATTTACCAACGAGTTTGAGCTTTGCTGGAAGAAACCACATGGTTGGTTAGCCCTTCAGGAACCTTCAGACACTCAACAGTATTAGAAGAAGAAAACAAAGAACAGGAGAAAAAAGTTGCACACATATTCATCCTACTCCAATCTCAACCCCGAAATGAGAGTATGACTCGGTCACCAGTATCAGGGAAAAGAGCTTGCCTTGGAGGTGATTTCGAAGTTGAGCAGGTCTTGGGCAAGAACCGAGACGCCGACGGTCGTGGCAGAGACGCCGTGAGGGCCAAGGGAGTCGGAGTCGCCGAAGACGGACGGCTCCCAGCAAAGGCCGTTCAGGAATCTGATGTCCTTGCCCAAAAGATTCATCTCCGGCAGCTTGAAGCGCGACGACGATGGAGAAGGAAGAAGAAAGAAAGAAGCTGGGAGAGAGGAGAGAGATGAACTTTGGCAGAGGAGGACAAAGGAGCCGTTGATTGGTGGCGCGTTGACGAAGACTTTGCGCTTCCTTGGGGGGATCCATAGGTAGTTGGCAGTTCCGAGCTTAAATAGAGGATAATCAGACAATCAGTTCCTGAATTTTAACCTAATATATAATGTGATAATTGAAATTTTAATTTGTTCAATATAATCTATAAACTTTAGCTTAATGTTCAATATTATCCCTGCACTTTTAGTACATGTTCAATATAGTCCCGAATTATGTGAAAATGTTTAATATATATTGAATATTTTCACATAGTTCGGGGACTAAATTGAACATATACAAAAAATTCAGGAAAGATATTGAACAAATTAAAAATTCAGGGATTACATTGCACATTGAGTTAAAGTTCAGAGATCACATTATATATTGGGCTAAAATTGAGAAACTATTAATGTTATTTTTCCGCCTAAATTACGAGCATCAAAGGGAAAGAATGACTCTCGTTGTTATTCGCCGGTAGCGTGAAACTTTTACCAAAAGTTTGGTCCAGCTTGACTACGGCGAAGATGCTATTCGATGTTCATCTTTATTATCTTGACAGGTTGACACAATCATGCCTTCCTCAATTTTGCCTTTTTTTTTTAATCCCATTAATGTTGGAGTGTGATTGAATGAGGCATCACATGAACATGTTCCCACCATTGGAGGACTCGACCCGACTCGACCCGTTTTTCTTTTCTCCATGGTTGGAGGTGGGACATCGATTTTCGATACGATCTTCCTACCCTTTGGTGTCTTAATTGCGCTTTGGCCTTGTTAATATGTGCAAATTCACTTTGGGTTTAATCTAGTGTTAGTGAATTTGGTCCGGTGGATGTCTCGCATGTGATCTTTGTGCCCGATGTGGCAGGCGTTTTTTATAAAGGGAAAATGTTAAAAAAAAATCCCTTAGTGAACTTGTTGAGGGTCATTAAATATCTCTGGAAAATAAGCAATTATTTATTAACAATAATTAGCCTTCTTGAACTGTGTATTTCTTTCAATTTTTAGAACATATTGAAATGTGTTTTGCCTTTTCTTTTTTTTTTGGTTAGCTTAATCAGTACCTCAATTACACTTATTAACATTATGCACATAATTGCAATATTTAGTCAACACTAGGCCTATATGACATGACCGATCAGTAGAAATGCTCTAACACTCCACATTTGTCATATATTCCATACATCACACTAGATAGATATCATATTCATGGAATACGATTCACTTTCAAGATGCCTTGGTGGTGAAATGGTAGACACGTGAGACTCAAAGTCTCGTGCTAGAGAGCGTGGAGGTTCGAGTCCTCTTCAAGGCATAATATTGAGAATACTCATTGAATTGGAATAAGTTCGGCAGTGGATCACGAAATCTTGGCGATCTTCTTTATCTAATGAATTGGAATTTTATTTCCCTCCGGAAAAGTCTGAAAAGGTTTTGGTAAGGGTGAGCATGGTGCATGTTGGGCCGGTCCAGCACTTAACCCAAGGATTAACCCACACAGTGTTGGTTTCTAATTTTTGGGATCAGGGACCGACCTTGTTGAGACTAAAACCGAGATTCCAAGGTCAACCCGAGACCAACCGATTCTTTTTTTGTTTTATTTTTTGTATTTTTTGAAAGGACAAACATACTCTTTGAAATTATATATATTAAGCAATTAAACTGCAAAGACCAGTACAAATCAAACAGAAATCTAAGATAAGGCAACAACAAAAATCTCCACTTATCAAAAGCAACAAATCATAAAAGATGAACACGTGAAATAAAATTAAATAATAAAAAGTTCAAAATACGTAACATAAACCATGAATTATATAACTTCATATCTTATTCGTTCTTAAAAGATTGCTTCAAATTTGAATACCCGAAAACAAAACAAACAACATAAATAGTTAATCCTTAACAATAGTTATATGGATTTATCAAGTTCACATAAATATTTAAATACTAACATATAATTAGTAATTGCGAAATCAGTATATCATCATCATCAAAGTCCGCAAAATATAACCTCATTTTCCGATACAAAAATCCAACCAACATTATCACTTAGGACACCTAAAGATATGTGCAACAACCAAAACCACGTTTATCTAGTCAAATGAATGACTAACAAAGCAAAGTCAGGACATGATTTAACACATGCAAATATTAAAGGAAAGAAATTCATTATCTGCTTCAAGGAAAAGCACACAAGCAACAAATATTTAACAATAGTTATCTGAATTTATCAAGTTCACATAAATATTTAAATACTAACATATAATTAGTAATTGCGAAATCAGTATATCATCATCATCAAAGCCCGCAAAACATAACCTCATTTTCCAGTACAAAAATCCAACCAACATTATCACTTAGGACACCTAAAGATATGTGCAACAACCAAAACCACATTTATCTAGTCAAATGAATGACTAATAGAGCAAAGTCAGGACATGATTTAACACATGCAAATATTAAAGGAAAGAGATTCATTATCTGCTTCAAGGAAAAGCACACAAGCAGCATATCATCAGACGACTATTCGAGGTTCAAAAAACATAAAAAGCAAGATTTCTCATGAGCATCATCACCAAATGGACTTTACTCTGTAGATCAAGATGAATTATCATCACCAAGAAAGAAACTTTTCTGGTGAGCTTAAAGCTCTCGGATTAAGCACAAATCGAGAAGCGGAAAGGGAGATATGTTCATTAGAAGTCCTAAAAATTATTACGAAAGTTTAATTAAGTATTAAAACTTGTAAAAAGTGTAATTAAATTCTAAAATTTGTTAATTAGTTCAAATGAGTTCTAAAGTTAATACCGTACCCCCGAGATCACTTCTCCGTTACATTGCACCTCACGGGAATACGGTGGATACGATCCTCCTCATCTGACACGTGCTGGTATGCCAGGTCAGGAGAGAGCGGGCCAGTAGCTTCTCGAAACGTGTCCGCACCGCTATTTTCCACTGTGCACGCATCAACTTCTTCCCGAGTGTACGGACGATGCGTCAAGCCTCGTCCTTAGCAAACCTGTGAGGGCTGGTTCCCTCGCACGTTTCGAGAAAGCGGACCAGTAGCTTCTCGAAATGTGTCCGCACAGCTGCTTCCCCTTTTTTGTTCTTTTCTTTCTCCTTTTTTCGCGTTCGCTTTTAAAAGTCCTTTTCCACGTCCCCTTCCTAAGAATCAGCGTCAGACGACAACATGCCAACTTTAAATAAGATTAGCTTGGCCACATGCAGCTTCTTTATCTTTGCTTCTTTTATATCTTTTGCGACAGTGGAGGCGAGCTCAGCGGTAAAAGCTGTTCGATTCTTAAAGCACTTCATTGCTTTGGGCTAAAGAGGAACATTCTTACTAATGTCTGATTATTGTTATGTATTTACTTTAAAATCAGTGTCCAACGACACTTATTGAACAAATTACCAACACTCATGAACGAGACACAAAATTTTGAACAACTTATAAGCACGTATTTATCATTTACTTTTGAATTAAAATTGAAAACTTTTATCTCGGTTCGGAAAGCAAATCTAAGTCTATGCGAGCGTGTATTTCTGCTTCATAGACGTATTAATAAAGATAAAATGGTATGTTGCATTGTTGGTTTGGGAAGCAATCGACATGCCCTACATTCTACACTAGCATTCCGCACATGACAGCCAGCAAATGAAAGGGATGGGATGATTAGAGAAAGTTATAGTTTAGATCCAACCCAAATGAATCGAATGAATCTCGATCCTAAGTATCATGGAATCCATGTGAGGCCCATTTCACCCAAGACACATGCTTTGTCAGTTCTTCTATGATAGATTGCTCCATACAAAACTTTCACGTTAAGTAGATATGTCATACGGGTGGGTCGGGTCGGGGTTGTGTCAGGTCATAAATAGTTCGACTTAAATTGACCCATTTAACCCATTTATAACCCATTTATCGCAATGCAAATTTTTTGACCCATACCCGATCCGACCTATACTCAACTTATACCAGATCCAACCAATTTAACTAAATCTAAGAAAACTTGTTTGTTATGATTTTTATAAAAAAAAAAATTGTAATTTTAAAACATTTTTATGCAATACAAATCTAATGGACAATTTATATATATTTTTTAAATTGAGATTCCGTTAGTTTCGCAGGAAATGCGACATTTCTGGAAAATATATTCTAAAAAGTCATTTGATTTTCCGATATTTGGCTGAAACCTGAAAATGAATTGAAAAATAATTTCCGCCGTTTGGTATGAAAAATCTAATTTGATTTTCCTCTGTGCACTCATTTTAATAATTTTTATTTTTATTTTTTATAAATCGTGTTTTAATTATTTTTCTTTTCTTTTCTTTGTTTCCTTTTTTTCTTTTCTTTTTTTCTTTTTTGTTCTTCCTTCGTCGATGGCTAGCCACGGCGAGCTCAAGGCTCGCCAGAGGCCGGCAAAGCCGAGGCCTCACCATATCGGCAAGCTCGAGCTTCGCTGACCTCTGGCGAGCTCATCCCTCGCCTGTGGCCGACTGCTGGCTGTCGCCATGGCTGGCCACCGGTAGAGGAAGAAGAAAAAAGAAAAAAAGAAAAGAAAAAAGAAAAAGAAAAAGTATTTAAAAAATAAAAATTAAGAAAATTAAGAAATAAAATAAAATAAAATAATGACTTGTTTATGATTTACTTAAGATTGTTATGTAACCCATTTATGACCAATTTAATACACATTTAAGACCCATTTAGTTAACAAGCAACACATTTATGATCCATTTAAGTTTACTATTAAAACTAAAGCCAACCCATTTATGATCCACAATCATTAAATATGAGTTACTATATGGGCTATTGACCCATTTTGCCACCTCTAATGTTAAGTATTAGAGATAATTAGATACTCATATAAAATATAGCTTTTATAATTCTATATTCGTATGAGTAAAATTTTTATAATTCGATATATCTGCGATGGAATCTCTATCCGTATGAGTAACATTTTTTAATAATTCAGTATATTTGCGATGGTATTGAAGTGTCGTATGGACACTACATTTGGCCAAAAAAGGCACCATAAAAGGTTGTAGTAAACCATGTGAGCTTCCAGATCACATTTCTAGCCCCTAACAATAAAAAAATCTCTGCTATTTATTATATAAAAAAAACAAGTGGCAGCTCTGTTTGGAAAGGCCTCCCTACGGACTTCAACTATTGTGTCCTTTATGAAAGAATTCACTCAAGCATAGGTGAATATCAATGTGAAAATTCATCCCTCAATTTTAGCAAATGTCTAGATTTAATCAGTTCATAAATTTGCAGGGTATTCCACGAGCTTTCCAGTAGTTAGATCTCCACGCCCATGCGTCTGAATTATCAAAAAGAAAGTTTTCACATTTTTCTAAAAATCAAAATATACATTCTTCCAAAACTATCATTGCATGAAAAATTGAAACTACCCACTAGAATCTCTTCATCAACAAATCACTCGATTCACACATCATTAATGACTGGTTATTATATATCCAAAAACCGATTTCTCCCTTCACACGTAACTCGCATGTTGCATTGCCACTAGTCACTCCTAATTTAATTGAAGATACGATCATTCTCTTTTTTTCCATTAAACCGTGGCTATCTTTTCGAAGCACTTGGCTAATTTTAATATTTTCTCTCTCATATGTGGTAATGACGTGACTAAAACGATATCGTTTTGGCCCAAATTTGATTTTTAATACTAATTTTATTTAAATTAAATTAAAAAAAACTAAATAAAAAAAATAAAAAAAAAGGAGGACAGGCGGGGAGGGAGGGCTTCCCCTCCCTGCTGCCATCGCCGCCCCACCATCGTCGGGAAGGGCCAGCGAGGGTGGGGGGATGGCAGGTGTCGCCGAGACCCGGCCAGGGGCCGACGACCCTCGCCAACAGCAGGCGAGGGGTCATGGCCCTCCTCCAGATCGGGCGAGGGGTCGCCGGCCCTCGCTTGTTGTCGATAGGGGTTGTCGACCCCTAGCCGGGACCCGACGACCCCCGCCTACTGTCCCCCTACCCTCACCGGCCCCTCCCTGCGATGGTGGGGCGGCGGCGGAGAGGGCAAGCCCTCCCTCCCAACTTGTCCACCTCCTCCTTTTTTTTTAAAAATTTTAATTTTAGCTTATTTTTTAAATTTAATTTAAATAAAATTAGTATTAAAAATTAAATTTGGACCAAAACGACGTCGTTTTGGTCACGTCATCGCCACGCGAAAGTAAGAAAATATTTAAATAAGCCACATGTGACACTCTGAAATTCGACCATTTTCGAGATATATAAAATGATTATTTCATCAATGCATTGTTAGTTAAATCTGGCTTTGAATTAATCACTCATGAGAGGACTAACCATCAGGTAAAGGCTATTGAGGAATTAAGTATGCACAACCTGAGAACTCGACCATGGATTGACAATTCGACCATAAGGATTGACGAGGGACAATTTTGAGCCATTATAGACCGATCAAGGGATGGCTATGGAATGATTCACCAATAGTATATAATCGGATCGTGGGTGATTCCACTTGACCATTGTATGGATCGCAAACAACCCTAAACTAATTTCTAATGATCGTGTGCTACAAAACTAGCGATTGGCCCTCGCAATTACATGACAACCGAGATCACCCATGACTCGAGAAAGCTTAAATGTGGATTGATATTGAATCAACCACGGGTCGATTACGCGTAACTCCTAAAAGCTGCCCGTTAGTTTAAGATACACTAAAGTTGCAATTGATCGATTTTGATCATAAATTAGAATACAAATTTGGGCGTCGAACTTTCAAGAATTTCAAAACTAAACTATTGGACGTTGCCTCATTAAACCCACCTATTTATCAGTTCACTCGGAATTCTTGAATTAAGTGAAATTCGGACTGGTTTTAGAAACGACCTTTGATGATGGAGTGAAATTGAAGGAGACCTCATGTGATCATTTTTAGGAGTGCAATTCTCTTTCAAAGGTACAAACTTTAATTCGAATTTCCATTTTGAACTAAATATTTTTTTCGTAAAAAAATATCAGTTTTGGTTCGAGTTTGAATTCTAGGCCAAGCCTTTTTTTTTCGGTCTTGTAAAAGAACACAAAATTTAGCTCGGATCTTAATTCTGGCCCTAACTCTTTTTGTCTCATTAAATAGGTCCCGCTTTCGGCCGGTACCCAAATTCGGCACCCGTCAAGCTTCCGTCCAATGACGTGGCAAAAGATCATTCCACGTATATTTGGCTAAAACTTGACATGGCTAGATTTGGGTACCAACTGAAAGTTTGTACTTTTTCATGAGATAAAAAAAAATTGGGTCAAAATTGGTCCATTGCTAAAGTTGATATTTTTCTATGAGACAATAAAATTTTGGGCCAAAATTCAAACTCGAACTAATGTTGATGCTTCTTTTACGAGACAAAAAGAATAAGGCAAGAATTTGGATCCAAGTTAAAATTGATGTTTTTAAAGGGAATTAGGTCGACCGACCCACTTCTTTTTCTCATGGCTGGAGTGGACATCGATTCTCAAAATGATGTTGCCACCCATTTGTGTCTTAATCAAGTCTTGTCCTAGTTAATACGTGCAAATTTACTTTGGGCTTAATCTATCATGAGTAAATTTGGTCCCATGTCAACGGACATCTCACATGCAATATTTGCAACAATGTAGAGCGCATTTTCGAAGCGGAAAATGTTAAAAGTGTCCCTAGTGAACTTATTAAGCATTCGAAATTTTTTTTTTTTTAAGCATCATTAAAAATACTTTGAAAATATAAAGTTATATGACAATATGCACATGATTCCGACATTCAGGGTGTATTTGTTTCACAGAAAATTAATTATCTATAAAAACATTTTTCAAAAAATAATTGCTTGTACAGCTTATAAAAATGAATAAACAAAAATATTTTCATCGTTCAAGAAAATATTTAGAAATAAATTATTATCGACAACTAAAATATTTTCACTTACTAATTGTTTCAAGCAATCATTTTTAGAAAAAAAAAATTCAAATCATTCATTTTGGGTTTCTCTTGTTTTTAAAAGGTTTTAGGCTCGCCTTTACATGATTTGGTGACTAGAGTCTCATGCGCCGAGGCTTGATATTGGGCCTTGGTTAGAGTGTGGGCCCATTTAGATTCTACTCATATTGCTATCGTTTGTGGGATTCTAATTTCTGTAAGTACTTTATTTTCAATCACTTTTGCTAAAGATCATATTTAACCTGAAATGCTCGAGATAAATTGATTGAGGGATAACCCGTAAGACAATCCAACAGCTAGTACCTTCTTTGGTTAATCAGATTAGAAATCCCATTGAGCTGTTTTCCTTTTTTTAATGGCAATGGACGGTACAATGATTCCAATGAGCAAGTTTGCTGTCGAATTAGGTTACGGGTATTGTTAGCTAGTGAGGGCCTGACTGCTCTTTGTCGTTGGTCTATTTGGTCCGAGAGACCTCCGGTGCTAGGACCATTAAGCTTTTCGATGTACTATGCCCGCTCAAGTCATCGATAAATGATCTAATAGCTGTGATCAGTGGAGCTCCGAATTTATGTGACAATTTCTCTGTGTACTGTTCGGGCACCACTATTTGTATCAAAGTTTGGAGCAGTGCATGCCATTGCCAATCAAATTAATGTACCACAGATGCCATTCGGATGCCATTTAAAAACCAAAAGAAAAAAGAAGGCGATATCTCTGTAAAAAGCAGAATTAGTCATCCTTCCACGTGAAACCGGGCTTTCTTTCACTTGCAGTCTTGTTGATCATTGTTCATCTTTCAGTAGCCACGATTTACTCTCTTTAGCAGGTTTTCTCTGAATATAGCTCCCCTTCACGAAATCCTAGACCGGCACCTTGCATGCTTTCGATATGTAACGGCGTCCTTTTTGACGCATTGAGGGACTTTGCATCCCTGCGATTTTCTAAGGATTCATTTTCGGCATTATCAATGTTTAATCATAGCTACACCTTCCACGACCCCGTTGAACAAACAGACCTTCGTACATTAGATCCTTCACTGTTCTTTACATGATGGTTTGGCTAAGGCTGTTCGAGCTTTTGCACTAGATTAGCATACACACACCAGATGATAAAGCACATTCTTCTCTATATCAGTCGGAAAGCTACGAGTAGATTGTAGTCCCAGTACATCACCACTTGGCCAGCTGCATTTCCCCAGAATGCCAAAGGCTGAATCAGATTCGGGTGAAGTCATCTCCCCTCTCGTTTATTCTTCCTCCATTCCCATGGCTCCTCAGGATTTGGTGAAGCCCACAAACCTACGCGCCTTGCCCGTGCATTCTTCTCCCACTGCTCATGCAACATTCAATACAGATTTCATATCACATATAATCGGGTACAGCAATAAGAAGAATCAGTAGGCTACCTTTGCAAGCTCTGCACGTTTGTCGTAGGCTGTGTAATGCCACGCCATCCCTTTCTTGAGCATCAACTCCTGTGGTTGGAGGTGGAAATAAATTGAGGAATTGTCCAGGAAAAATTGGAACTGACAATAGAGTGTGATTACAGAAGCAGCTCAACAAACATGCCGGTATGTAATCCTAGAAGACATTGTTCCTATGGCAAATTTGCATTTGCTATTCCTGCTCATTGGGCGGGCTTTTGCTCGTCCAGCCTGACCTCCCCCAAAGCATTAAGCTATGGTTCAGTTAAGCTGTCCGCCCAAGTCCAACCATGAAATGAAGTTTCAGTTTAGAAAACAAAAGAGGAGATTGATTGAGCGTAAAGCCAGTTTGATTCATTAGTCTTTATCCAAATATGTTCAGTCATTAAACTGTCTTTCTCGCCTTGGCCTGACTAAATTTCCAGACTGATGACTTGAAGGCCGTTGAAATTACTTGTCAAAAAGTCGAGGCTAGGGAGAAGTCGGGTTTACCTGTACAAAGTTGCCCTTGCAGTATACATCTCCTACGCTCCGGCCATATCGATCTTCTCCATACACAAGAACTCTCAAACACTTTCCTTCAACAATCTTTGCAAGCTCGTCCTTAGCCTCTTTGCCATATGGCATCTCACCCTCTGGAGCATCTATCCCCCTGTTTCATAAGGCAATTGTTCTTGGAAGAATAAACAGGGAAATTTGCCAATTGGAATGCATCAAATGCCTAGTTTTACCTGAGCCGAATTCGGTACTTCCGAGCAAGGACTTCCTCATTCTGAACATTTATCACCCTGCAGATAGACAACTATGATCAACCAGTGAATTACTTGTGCTGGGATAGAAGAAGTGTGACAGACGATGAGCGTGACTGTTCATAAGCCATCAGGATAACACACCGATATCCTGTGTCCACAATACTTTTGTGCAGTGCATCTGCACGAGTGAAGTCCCTCTGAGCACGTGCTTCTGATCTTTCGACGACTGCGATCTGGACTTCTTGTGGGACCAAGCATGATTCTCTCGGATCGGAAGTGCTAACGTACACGGTGATGCCGTCCCCATCTGTCACACATCTTGCATCCACCTGGTAAAAGTTTACGGAAGATTTTCAGAAGATTGTATGACAGCTGTATATGTTGTGAACTTCACTCTGAGTCTAGAGATCATTTCTTATGGGCTGATGCTTATAGGAGATGTGGTGTTGTTAGATTTGTCAGAGTTGGGATAGTGAGTTGGAATTTGATATCTTGTCTAGAAGACAAAATGACGTGTTGTATAGATTCAGTGATGTTTAAGCTAGCAAATTTTGTGTTGACTCAATACTTGGAGGTCTGTAGGAACTGGAACTTGTTATAGTTGCTGCACTTGCAGGTGATGATACTGATGTTACACTCGTAGCTTCTGGTGCCATGTAGTAGCAGCTCTGCAGCTTTTTTAAGTTAATCAATGAAATGCTTGCTCACATAGCAAAAAAATTGAAGATATTCAGAAGATGCTACAGAGCAAATATACAGAAAAAGATTATGGAGTGTTGAGGAAGTTTTGGGTTCATAACTGGAAGTGTGTGAAACTCAAACTTCACTCCTTGAGGCAATGCTGCTGGAACTTCGGCTGTGGTCTCAACCAAGGTGGGAGCAAGAGGTAGGCCATAGAATGCCAATAAACCCTACCGCATCAGATGAAGTACAACAGCCAAAAATTAGAGAAAGTGAAGAACAATCACCTCCTTCATTCCCCTGAGGATAATGGGAGCGAAAAGCTAATGAAAAACCCAAGATTGTCACTTATTTTTGGTTGATTTACCTCAACATCAGCCTTGTGGTGTTTCTTCAGGGTCTGGACAACAAGCCTTGATGCTTCTTCAGGTGTTTTTGGAGGTGGATTTGATTCTCTCCATGCCACTGATAGCTTTCTATACCTTCATTTTAATTAAATAGTTGCAGCAGCAAAAACAAAAACTTTGAACTTTAAGATTATGATATCAAGCTAATTTCTTCAGGACAGAGCACAATCCCATTTCAAGAAAGTGAAGAGTGCTGTAAGTGTAAAGCAAAACAATTTACCAACTAGCTTGAGCTTTCCTGGAAGAAACTACATGGCTGCTTAGCCCCTCAGGAACCTTCAGGCACTCAACAGTATAAGAAGAAAAAAGCAAAGAACAGGAGAAAAAAGTTGCGCACATTTTCCATCCTACTCCAATCTCGACCCCGAGATGAGAGTGACCAGGTCACCAATATCAGGGAAAAGAGCTTGCCTTGGAGGTGATGTCGAAGCTGAGCAGGTCTTGGGCGAGAGCCGAGACGCCGACGGTCGCGGCAGAGACGCCGTGAGGGCCGAGGGAGTCGGAATCACCGAAGACGGCCGGCTGCCAGCAATGGGAGTACAGGTACCTGAGGGCCTTGCCCAAAAGATTCATCTCCGGCAGCTTGAAGCGTGACGACGGATGGAGAAGGAAGAAGGAAAGGAAGAAGCTGCGCGAGAGGAGAAAGACGAATTCTTGCAGAGGATGATGACAAATCCCAAGTAGGAGTTGCATTTGGTGGAAGGACCGTTGATTGGTGGTGCGTTGACGCTGACGTTGACGTTGACTTCGCGCTTCCTCTGGGAGGGGGGGGGTCAAAAGGTCGTTTGGCAGCTGCGACTTAAAATTACGAGCATAGAAGGGAAAGAGAGGACACGTGTCTCGTTGTTATTGGCTGGTGGCATGGAATTTTTAACATAGTTTGGTCCAGCTTGGCTACGGCGAAGACGCTCCTCAGGTTGAGGGTAACGCAATCATGCCTTCCTCAATTTTGCCCCCTTTTTTTAAATCCCATTAATGGTGGGGCGAGATTGAATGAGACGTCACATGAACATGTTCCCATAATTGGAGGACTTGACCCGACCGGACCGACTCCTTTTTATTTCTCTATGGTTTGAGGTGGAACATCGATTTTTCAAATCGATCTTCCTACCCATTGGTGTGTTTTAATTTCGCTTCAGCCTTGTTAATATGTGCAAATTCACTTCGGGTTTAATCTAGTGTTAGTGGATTTGGTCCGATGGACTTCTTGTAACATTTGCCTCTTCTTTTTGACCAGGTCAAAAGACTTAGGCTGAAGGAGGATTAAAAAAAAAAAGAGTCAAAAAGTGAAGATAAAAGGAAGAAAGCAGTGGCTGGTCGCGGGAGAACAGAAGAAAAACAGAGGAAAAGAAAAGGAAAAAAAGGAGAGGAGAAAGGGAAGAAGTGAAAGGGAGGGTTTGTGCGCACGGGTCCTTGCCGAGCCGTTCCGACTACGTAACGCAATGACTAGTAAGTACTCGCAACCCTTGTTAGTCCTATCGGAGTAATTTTTTTGTTAGGGCTCGGAAATAAGAGTAATGTGGAATTTGAGCTGCGCAATCCAAGTTTTTGGGTTGCCAAGTCTTAAATATCCATGAAAATGAAAGATTGTGGTGTTGTGGGGTTGTGCGTTTTGACGGATATCGATTCGGAGTTATGGTTTGTCCGGAATCAAATTTTCAAGTTGAGAGCATAATCTGGAATTTTGTGAACAGTACTTTTCAGGGCTTTTTTTTTTTGTCATTTTCAGGCTGTTGTTTGGGTTGGCTGTGTTGGGACATCCATTATATGCTGGATGAGTTTCACTTTGACTATAAGAGCGCGCAAAACGGAGTCCGGTGGAGGAAGTTATGGCGCATGGAAATTTGGCGCGCAAGTTGTTCGTTGTGGTTGGCATTAGATTTTTCCATTGAGCAAGCCGTCATAGGCACGTGGGTGTCGGATTATTGGCTAGTTAGCCTTAGCTTATTCAAGTCACGCGTTAGGGGGAAGTATTACTCGGTTTTGATTTGTTTTCCGTATGTTTGATAGGATTTTGGAACCGTCGGCTCGAGTAACACATATGGGTTAGTTTTTGGATTATCAGGTGAGGGACATCATATCTTCTATGAATTTACAAATTCATATTTTGATAATGAGATATGATTTTTAATACAGTGGAGCATGTTTTCTGCATAAATTGGATCGATCATTTACTACCTTCTGTTGATTGTGAAATGAGTTGAAAAGTCTTATGATGTTATTGAAATGAAGCTTTTGTGAATGCTTATATTAAAGGTTTTGTGAAGAGGATTAGCCGAGGGCTATTCTTGTTGCGAAATGTTTTGTGAAATGGATTTATTGGTGTTGATTATGGATTTCTAGATTGAGTTATAAGATGCTGCTGCTCGTATTCCTATGTTGAGAACCCGTTGAAGGGGGGTGTATGCATACCGTTAGAATATCCTTCTGGGCCAAACCGCCGGCTTATAATAGGTGATAGACCTTGCTCAGAGGGGTAAACTTGGTCGCCTTTGTCACGGCGTTAAACTTGACCATAGTTTGATGACGAGCATGAGATTGGTTGATGGATGAACCATCAACGTGTTATGTGATGAGATTAGTCAATGGATAGACCATTGATGATTGGCTATTGTTGTTAAGTGAGTTTTTATTGAGTAATCTGATACGAATGACTTTTATTGAAAAGTTATTATACCTTTAAGATATTTTTGGCTATATTGTACATTGAGTTTGAGTTATGGGCTGTGATATTTTTTATACTATTGCATGGTGATTGTTCGATCCGCTTAGAAGAAATATGTTACTCACTGAGCCGTGGTAGCTCACCCCTTATCTTACATACCTTTCAGGTTCTTCTGCTGGCCGCAAGTAGGGCGTGAGCGGGCGTTAGTCGGAGGATTTCTTTTTGATTGTGGGATTTTGGGTACGTCGTACATAGTGACGTTGCGCTATTGGAATAGCTTTTTTGTTGGATTTGTATATTATCCTTTTGATGGTTTAGAAAGCTTTGATGTTATTCGGGTTTTGTTTAAGTTGAGGCTGCGTCCTTTGGGTGAAAGGACGGCCGTGTTATGATCCCGTTTTGGTTGTGTTCGGGGTGTGACACTTCTCACATGTGATCTTTGTGCCCGATGTGGCGAGTGTTTTTTATAAAGGGAAAATGTTTAAAAAAAATTCCCTTAGTGAACTTGTTAAGCGTCATTAAATATTTTTGGCAAATATGCAATTATTTATTAACGCTAATTAGCCTTCTTGAACTGTGTATTTCTTTCAATTTTTAGAACATATTGAAATGTGTTATGTCTTTCCTTTGTTCCTTTTTTTTGGTTAGCTTAATCAGTACCTCAATGACACTTATTGACATTATGCGCATAATCGCGATATTTAGTTGACGCTTTGTCATTTCCCTCTGGAAAAGTTTGAAAAAGTTTTGGTAAGGGTAAGCATGGTTTGGATTAGGCTGGGCGAGCACCTAAGCCAATGACCAACTAGCACAATATTAGTCCCTAGTTTTTGGGATCGGGGACCGATCGTATTGAGCCTAGGACTGACGACTGGACTGACCTTGTGGGTCCAGTTTGGTTCTAAAGTCAACCTGGGACCAACTAATTATTTTTTTGTTTCATTTTTAGTATTCCTTAAAAGGACAAACATACTCTTTGAAATTACAGATATTAAGCGACCAAACTGTGAACACCGTTACAAATTAAACAAAAATCTAAGATAAGGCAATTACAGAAATTTCCACTTGCTAAAAGCAACAAACCATAGAAGACGAACACGTGAAATAAAATTAAAAAAATAAAAAGTTCAAAATACGAACATAAACATGAATTATACACTTCATATATTGTTCATTCTTAAAAAATTTCTTCAAATTTTGAGCACCCGAAGAAAAAACAACAAATATAGTTAAAACTTAAATATTTAAGTGCTAGCATGTAATTAATAATTACGAAATCGGTATATCATCATCATCAAAGTCTGCAAAATAGAACCTCATTTTCCAATACAAAAAACCAAACAACATTTATCACTTAGGACACCTAAGAAATGTGCAACAACCGAAACTACATTTATCTAGTCAAATGAATGACTAACGAAGTAAAGTCAAGACATGATTTAACACATGTAAATATTAAAGGAAAGAAATTCACTATTTGATTTAAGGAAAGCACACAAGCGGCATATCATCAGATGAGACTATTCAACGTTCAAAAAACATAAATAGCAACATTTCTCACGAGCATAATCATCAAATGGACTTTACTCCATAGATAAGGAAACATTATCGTCACCAAGAAAGACATTTTTCTGACGAGCTTAAAGCTATCATATCAATCACAAACGAGGAAGCGAAAGAGGAAAAATAAATACACAGCATATACCGGGAAATCGCATGAGCTTGAAGCTCTCTAATAAAGCACAAACCAGGAAGCAAAAGTGGAAAAATAAAAACCCAGCACAAACGGAGAACTCGCACGAGCTTGAAGCTCTCAAATCAAGAACAAGCGGAGAATTCACCAGTTGAGCTGCGTTCATGGGGTGAGGAAAAAGAGGTGAGCAAGCTGCGTTCGTGAAGTGGGCCAAGAGAGGTGAGTGATGTTACCAGCTGAGCTGCGTTCGTGAGGCGAGCGAAGAGATGCCACATGATTTTTATTTAAACAACCCAAATATTCTGCTATTTTCATTATTTATTATTTGCATCCAATCCATTGAAGGCAATCTCATCCTTAACGAAACCCCCAACAAACTCCTCCGTTATCTTTATTCTTACCCAAGCCCTAAGAAAGAAGAGCACAAAGATGACATCCGTAATGGAAAACTCACGCCTTTAAATCTAACAAATTCTTCCATACAGAGTCATCACCTTCGTCACCACTATAAATCAGCAGCCTAGAAGAGGAGGGGCCCAGGACTTGGACCATGTATACACACACAGGATTGGTCCGGGTTGGACCATCCCCAAAGCCCCTAGGTCACTTCTCCGCTACATCGCACCTCACGGGAATACGGTGGATACGATCCTCTCATCTGACACGTGTCGGTATGGTTACTCTTACCAGGTCAGGAGAGAGCGGACCAGTAGCTTCTCGAAACGTGTCCGCACCGCTGTTTTTCACTGTGCACGCATCAACTTCTTCCCAAGTGTTACGGACGATGCGTCAAGCCAAGCCCTTAGCAAACCTGCGAGGTCTGGTTTCCTCGCACGTTTCGAGAAACCGGACCAGTAGCTTCTCGAAAGGTGCCCCGCACAGCTGCTTTCCTTTTTTGTTCTTTTCTTTCTCCTTTGTCGCGTTCTCTTTAAAAATCCTTTTCCACGTCCCCTTCCTAAGAATCAGCGTCCGACGACAACATGCCAACTTTAAATAAGATTAGCTTGGCCAGATGCAGCTTCTTTATCTTTGCTTCTTTTATATCTTTTGCGAAAGAAGAGGCGAGCTCAGCGGTAAAAGCTGTTCGATTCTTAAAGCATTTCATTGCTTTGGGCTAAAGAGGAACATTCTTACTAATGTCTGATCATTGTTATGCATTTACTTTAAAATAAGTGTCCAACGACACTTATTGAACAAATTACCGACACTCATGAACGAGACGCAAAATTTTGAACAACTTATAAGCACGTTGTTGACACCCAAAATTACCCCTGGTGGGAGTGGGCCGTTCATAAGTTACAAAAGATATAAAGTACGGCCCACATAGCATAGAGGTGTCGACAAGTTCAAAATCACGAGCCTTGTACGTGACATCGACGAGTT